GCAGTGGCTTTTTTGTTTACTCCAATTTCTATTTGCTTTATTGCTTCCAAATATTTTATTTTGCTTGACCCATGTCACTCTTGTATATGACTCATCCTTGTCTCACATGGATACACAAAATACACTTGAAAGTGGATACTATATACTGTATACATCTCTTTCGCTATGGGTATCCGTGTATCTCTATGGGTATCCGTGTATCTCTATGGGTATCCGTGTATCTCTATGGGTATCTATGTATCTCGATTGCTCCTCGATGTATATCTCTGTATCTCTCTGTGCATCATCTCTAAGGGTCTCCATGCATTTCTATGTATCTCAATTGGTCTCTATGTATCTCGCGATGTATGTGGGTCTATGTATCTGCATGTATGTGGGTCTATGTATCTGCATGTATCTGGGTCTATGTGTCTCGACGTGTATGGGTCGATGTCATGTTTGTGGCCCAGGTCACGAGCAAATTGGACTCGGCCTGGTCTCTTCAGTTCTCACCACCTCGTTACACACTTGAGCAATAATGCGACACCGTTGGTGATGTTGATGATGTGTGTACTATTGATGATGTGTGTGTTTATGATGATGGTGAGAGTGGTGGATCATAGTCGTATACATCCTCATCATCATCATCAGCAGCAGCAGCCATGGTCAATCCACTGCTGGATGAAGGCCTCCCTAAGCACCCCAGCGCCTGCATACCGAGACAGATTTCATCGCTCCATCTCCTGCACGGTGGACGTTCCATTGCTGAGCTCCAGACACAATGCACTGTTACTCAGGGGCAGTCGAGCAGAACACTTCTTTGTGGACTCCGTCTGAGTGTGTTCACCAGGAAGGTGTTGATGCACATATACACACACACACACGTGCGCGTGTGTGTGTGCATCATAGGCCTGGCAGCATCATTACAGCAGCAATAGCAGCATCGACCACTTTTCGTCTTTGCTTTTAGCCGTGACTCAATGTCTCTCTCACCTCCTTCCCTCTCCCCTAATCCCCCCCTCCTCACAAGCTCTCTTCACTAAAGCCCGGATCTCACCAGAAGGAATTTTAACTCAAATGTGTTTTAAAAAGTCAAATTCTTCAGCGACACCCATGATTACAAGTCTTCGCTTTGATAATGTACGGACCGCAGTCAGTTTCAGAAACGTGCGTGTGCGTGTGTATGTCTGTCTGTATGTACGTGCCCTTGAAGGCCACTTCACATGGCTTTAAAGTGCACATAGCCTGGTACAAGTGCCATGGTGACGTCACTGCCACTTAGTGGCTAAGGGGGGGGGGGGTTGATGTATCTACGTGTGTAAGTAAGGGAGCGGTAGCGCAGTGGTTAGCGCACTGCCCTACGAACCCAGCTGATCCGAGTTCGTTTGCCGCTCGAGGCCAATAACAATATTTGAACCGGTCCAGGCCCTCCCCTAGGTCGACGCAGATTCAAATGAGCACCTGGTGCGGTGTGTAGAAATTGGCACGGGGAGACAAAGGCGGCCGGGTGTGGTACAGCCTTCATAGGTGATCAACAACTCCGCAATGGGAACGTGGAATATCCACCTCTAGCCCAGGGCAGGCGAAAGAGTAAAAGCGCCGCCCGATGCTCGCGTTGAGAATGGAAACTTTCGTCTGCCAGGCAGAAAAAACAAACACAGCGATTTTGGGATTAAGGGCGCCCGGAACTCGGAGATAGCAACCATAGCAGCCATACAGCACCACCAACAACAACAACAGCAGCCGCAGCCGTGATGGCCGGGGGCATGAGGAGACCTGGGTAGTTGGTGGTGGAGGTTGGGATTTGGGAGATCTGGGATGGTGGATGTTGGATTTGAGTATAGGAGAACCTTGGCACGTGGAGCTAAGGGTTGTTGAATCACGTGGCCTGGGCGAAGGAAGATCTGGATGGGTGGTGGACGGAAATGGGAAGACGGAGACCTGGGACGGTGGTGATGCTGGTGGGACCTGGGAATAAGTGAGATTTAGAAGGCTCCGAGATTGCCGGATAAGCTGTGTTTTCTGTGCGTCCATAAACCAAGGCATCTCCTCTCTGTGTCTCCAGCTGTCCGTCTCTAGATCGTTCGTGAACAGTGCGTTTTGTCTGTGCACCTGTCCAAATACTAAATACATCTGTGCACCTGCCTGCAAGGATGTTCTGTCCGAGCGGTGAGTGAACATTGCCCGCCTCTGCAACCCAAGGCGGCAGGCATGAGCGTGGAAGAGTAGGCCAACATTTCGATTTAAAGCTTTCGTGACTGCAGGGTGCGGTGTATCACCAGCATTGGGGAGACAAAGGCGGCCGGGCGTGGTGTTGGCCACCGACTCCTTCGTGTGTGCCGTTCAGATCTTCATAGGTGCTCGCTTGCACCTGCCCCAACAGTCTGTTAAGGCTATATGGGGGTGGGGGGGGTCTTTGTATTTGTGTATACGCGTGTGCGTGGATGTATACGCGCTTGTGTGTCTGCACCATCTAACTTTCGCGTCTCGCGGTAATCATCGCGGCGAATCTATGATTGCCCTAATTGGACCGGGGGTAGGGCTAATTTGACATCGGCCTCTCCCACCCCCCTCCTCTCTCTCTCTCCTCTATCTCCGCGTTCAATCGGCCCATAGGACACTTGAGCCGATTGAACGCGGACTGACCGCGGTCAGTTTCAGAAGCGTGCGTGTGTGTGTGTCTGTCTTTATGTGTGATGATTGGTAAGAATTCTAGATTTGAAGCTTTCGTGACTGCAAGGATTCATACTCTTAGTTTTTTCGGTAAAGTCACGTAGGTAAACTTGTATTTAAGAACTTGCATCTTGGAATCCCTGCCTCACTTGATACAGCAAATCTGGCTGTGACGGTCCCACCTGATGACGGAGACTTGTGTTGCCTCCGAAACGTCGTGATTTTTTAAAATTAATTTGAATTTAATGTTTTACCTACGTGACTTTACCGAAAAAATAAGAGTATGATTGGTACGCACACGAGCACACGTGCACACGGTATCTACCTTGAGTTGTGTTCATTGTGCTTGCGCACCGCTGCCAGTGCACCAGCAAATAACGTGCTCACCTTCGTTGGAATCGGAATTCTCTACATCCTGTGGCACGTGTCTGACAATCGTGCATTGTTTGTGTTGCAGCGGGGGGATAAGCTTGGTAAGTTTAGACAATGTAAGGTGGGTGGTAAGGTGCTGAGATCCCTCGGTGTCGACACTTGTAACGGTACAACTGGCACCCGACTCGAGGTCTGGGTAAACTTTCAACTCTTTATTTGTTGACATTTTCATGTATTCTATTTTCACCTGGAAAATGAATCCCTTCGGATGGGGCAGAGCCAGCCCAGCCACTAAGCGACCCTTGCAATTGCAAAGGGCCCCGTGGCCAGCAGAGGGCCCCCTAGAGTCACTGCTAACTAGTGGGTGAAAAAAATCATACATCAAAGGGGCCTCCAACCAAATTTTGCTTAGGGCCCCCAAAGGTCTAGGGCCGGTTCTGGGATGGGGGCATCTCTGATGGCAGGCGACGTGACCTCTTGCGTCGGGGGATGGAGCACAGTCGCCTCGCCGCGCTGAGTCGGCAGTGCAGGCCGCTGTCGCCACCTACTGCACTCACAGCGACAGCAAGACAAGCCTGGGCAGTCCACGAGGGGGATGGGAGTTCCTCGGGTGCTTCGTGAACGAGGGGATGGCAACCGTTCAAGTTCCTTTTCCATCTCCCGTGTATGCCGTATCGAGAAGAAAAACAACGAGGTGAGAAGAAACTCGTTTTGTCGCACGCACGCAACTTTCATTTGCGATCAAAAGTAGAACATAAAGTATGTTGGCTCCAGAATTAATAAAATTAAATGTTGGGCCGTCCATAAATGACGTCACGCGATTTTGTACGATTTTTGACCCCCTCCCCTCCCCTAGTCACACGGCGTCACAAAAAGTCAGACCCCCCCTCAAATATGACGTCACAAAGCTCTGCCCCCCCCCCCACCCAAAAAAAATAAAACATGCTTCAAATCGCTTTAAACTATTGTCATTGTAGTGCGTATTTAACGTGGCGCTGCACTCTGATGTTGTAGGATAAATCATTTATTAAAAAGACTATTTAATTAAGTACAACGTGTTGTCTATATTTATTTAAAGTTGCGCCTTTTTATGTGACGTCACATTTCTCACCCCCCCCCCCCCCTTCGTCACACATGTCTGACCCCCCCCCCCCTAGGTGCGTGACGTCATTTATGGACGACCCCTGTGCTGAATAAAAGTGGGTGGGTTCCTCTTTCTGTGTAATGTAACAACTCCAGACACACCACTGTAGAGGCCTCCTCTATTTACTTCGCACACACGACTGCAACTCGGTAGCACTGAACACAACGCTGCCGAACTAGCGACGACGTGGACGTCTAGATAGCTGGTCGACGATCTAGCGACGGCGACGATGCGATGACGAAGACGACAGCGACGACAGCCAGAACCCCGCTTGTCCCTGCCTTTTATTCCCCCGGCGTGGCCATGCTCCGCCCCTGGCGACGCCCCTCTTCTTGAACTCTCTCGCGGGTTCTAGGAGCTTCCAGGTCGATCCCCTCTTTGACCTTTGACCCAGTTTTTGTTCCCCCTTTTTGTCACTGGCGTGTATACGGTCTCCTCTCGTTCTTATTCTATTCCCACACCCGCAATTACCACTTATGGGCGCCAGTCGGCGCACTGTCTCTACAGATGTTTTTTTTAATGCAAATCAAATTTGATCAATTCTGGGGTGAGATTAATTTATTTTATACTTTTGAGTGCAAATAAAAGTGTGTGCATTGACAAACTTGTTTTTACTAACATTTTTACATTTAATTTGAATCTTGTAAAAATGATTTGTATATGTCCATATTCATTCGACGATCTCAATTCAGACAATAACAATAGTTCATTATTGTCAGGATAATGACAATATATTTGAAACAGTGAAATACAAAAAATCAGTAAAAAAAACACGAAGAGGCCCAGGATCGGCAGGGACCCGGACCGGTTCTTTCAATGAAATCTTTAATTTGTCACGCGAGATGACGACCGAGTCTGTGTGTACAACATTTAAACTCGTTTGGCTTCTTTGATCCGAAAATATGAAGCGTCAAAAACATTTGAAAGAATTTAAACAAACAGGGCGAGTTAAATAAGTGTACTAAAAACCCAGCAGCAGGCTACAACTGCGTGCGTGATGTTGTGAGTCATTTCACGGCAGCATCCGAGGTGGTAGTTGAGTGGAGTCGGGTTCATCTTCTTGGTTCTTTCGGTAAAGTCACGTAGAATTCAGACTCTGTCTTATCGACGGACCTGTTCTTCACCTGAGGACGGCTGCTTGCGTTGTGGCCAAAACGTCGTGAGAATTATTTTATTGGTTTATTTGTATTATTACATTTTTATTATTTTATTATTTCAATTCTACGTGACTTTACCGAAAGAATCAAGAAGATGAATCCCTGCAGTCACGAAAGCTTCAAATCGAAATTTGGAGTCGGGTTGTTCCACCAGAATTCGCGCGTTGTATTGGGCTGGCAGTCATCACTGACATGCACCCTGATGGTTTGCGCCTCACCGCATTCGCAGTTTGGTGGAGTTCCCTGCTCGTTCCATTTATGGAGGAAATATCTCCGCACCTCTCTTCTCTTCCTCCACGTGGTGTGGTTGTTGTCGTTGTGACCGCGGCTCACTGCGCTGGTCCTCATCGGCGTCGAAGCAGCAGAGAGGAGCTGGAGCTGTTCCTCCTGCGTTCGGGTCCTTCAATTGCCAAAGCGAATGAAGGATCCCAAGATTCAAACGTGGCCTACAGACTCACCTGCTTCCTCACAGCTACGCGGCACACCAGAGTTGCTGTTGTTGTTGTTAACCCGACGTTTTGTTAAATATTCTTAGGTTTTTTCTGTAAAGTCACGTAGGTAAAAAATTAAAGTTGTTCTTGTTTTTGCAGTTAACTGCAGTTAACTGCAAAAACAAGAACTTAAATTTTTTACCTACGTGACTTTACCGAAAAAACCTAAGAATATGAAACCTTGTAGTCACAAAAGCTTCAAATCTAGTTTTGTTAAATGTTTATTATCGTGGGGTGGTGGTAAGAGGCCGACGTGTGGTATCTGTGTTGAACTCCTTTGACACCGTACGTAGCTTACCATGCTAATCGTACAAACCCTTCGTGTCCTGGTGCTCAACGCGCGCGGTTGGTTTGTTGATCGGCTGGCATCACCACAACCAGCAGCAGCATCACCACCACCACCAGCAGCAGCACAAACCTCTATAGGGCACCAGGCTGCTTCCTAGCCTGGTCATGGCTGCTGACGCCACGTCTGTGATCACCAGGACACAGAAAGGCCTCTTGCCCCACCCTCACCGATTATGAAGCAAGCACCACGGGTTTCGACTCAACTGGATCCAGCTCATGAGTAGACCCATGTGAAAATGCGACGATTCACTGCAACGGACAATGGATCTTTTGTTATGTACAGTTTATATACAAGCACACATAATCCAATCACAGTAATGTGCAATTTCCACCGCTGGACACGTGGAATGACAATAGGGACAACCGTGTGGACCACGGTAGCTGGAGAACTCCCCTCTGGTGTCTGGAGTGGTGGTGCAATGGTTAGCGATATGCGTTGCAAACTCGGGGCCGTGGTTAACATTGGTGGAAATTATATGATTAGATACTGGGTCTCCCCTAGGTAGACTCAACCTAAAATGAGTACCTGCTGAAATGTGTAAATGTAAGCGGTGGAGAAACAAGGAGGGTGTGGTGCTGGTCACAACACCCCCTTGTGTTGTGACGGTTATAATAGGTAACAGCACTTGCCCCAACAGGCTATCGGGGGAAACTTTGTCTTTGTGTGCGCCATGGACCTCTGTGAGTATCAGGAACCCGTGTCCTGAAGACCCCTACATCAGCGACTCCTGTGACTTGTTCAGAGACCCCTATGAATGTATAGGAGACTTCCGTACCAAGAGACCGCTGTATTAGGGCTTCCCTCCGAGTGTCAGGGAGACTCCTGTGGGTGCCCCTCTAGGCAACAGCGAAGGGGGTGACGGTGGCCGGGTCGACGAGCGACTCCACTAGTGGTCGCTCCACGGCCGGGGGACGTCCCCCGCCCCCCACCCCGCGCCGAGACCCCCGCGCCCCCCTCTGCGGGATGGGCAGCTCCGAGTGGTGAGCGGGCAGCGGCGCCGTGAAGAAGTACGGGTGCAGCAGGGCCTGCGGCGGCACACACACACACACGTGACGCAGCACTCGACACGTATGACACGCGATGCGAGGCGCAGCGTGTAACGCACGACACGTTCACACGTGACGACGACACGTGACATGCGATACAAGACAAGGCACGCGACACACGATACGTATGACACGCGGCAAGATGCAGGACGAGTGGCGTGCGACATGTGAACTCCAGAACCCCATGGGTGGGCGTCGAGGATCCGTAACCCTGGTACACCAAAAGAAGGTGGCACAGCAAAGTGCAAACTGATCTCCATCTGTTCCATCTGCATGGGATAGAGTGCTGCCCCCTCACACGTGTGGGTTTTCTCTGGGTGCTCCGGTTTCCTTCCACACGTGTGAGCACTCATTAATTGGCTAAAGACAACTTAATACAAATACGCTCCTCCGTGTGCTGCGGACTGAGCCGAGTTGTGTGATGCAGTTTTGATTAAGTTCATTTTCGACAGAAAGCCTCACTTAAGTCTCATGAATTATTGTTCAGGAGGGTACTGCTAAGTTTTTCGCAGGAGGGGGACGACGGTTGGCTATGTGGATTCCAATGGAGTCGTTTGCAGTGTACATTTTTAAAACTTGCCAAATTTGGAGAGTGACGCTTTCACAAAAGTGGGATCTTTAACGCCCACTGTGGGTGAAGCAGACGGCGCCTGGTCGGATATTTACCGCTGATAAGACACCGCAGTTTAACCAGGTGTCATTGCAGTTCATGGCAAATACCACCGCAGTTTTAACCAGGTGAGAACTCAAGAGAGCAGGAAAGCAACTCATTGCGAGTGACCTCGGGCACCAATCAGTCTTCCCGTAGAGGGCGATGATTTGCTGCTCTGTGTAGAACCCCAACTGAGTAATGTGCGGTGTCATTTTCGAATGTGGCAAATGTATCCCCCTGTCACCGGCACACAATGGCCCACTCTTGCAAATGACGTCAAGGGATCCTTCACGGCCACTGTGAAGTGCACGGCGGCGCGTAGTGATATCAGCCGTGGCGACTACACAGTAATAACCAGGGTGGCCTGTCGGGCTCGAACCGTGAACCTCAACAAGCGGCGAACTCGCGGCCGCTGGGCCGCGTCTCCGCTATAATTGGACAAATGACGGCACGACAGTCCGTTCTCCTATAACGCTGCGTGCTTTCATAACGCGAATTGTATATAACGCGATGAATGTACAGTAAAACCTTGGATTGCGAGTAACTTGGTCTGCGAGTGTTTTGCAAGACGAGCAATTTTTTAAAATAAATATTAATTTGATAAACGAGCGAGGTCTTGCAATACGAGTAGTACGTGTTTACGCTTTGTCTGCCGAGCGTCACGTGATCACAACTGATATATGAGTGCTTTGGATTACAAACACGTTTCCGGAACGAATTATGCTCGCAATCCAAGGTTTTACTGTATTAGGGAACACATTTTTTGGAAGGCGGATGCGAATTCAATACAATGCGATCGAGCGAACGGAACGACGTCACGCGAATAGGAATACAGCGGCTGCCTCGGCGTAGGATCACACAGGGCGGGATGCTGCTGGATACTTCTGGATGCTCCCTAAGCGCTTCAGTCTTTGTTCAGCCTGCATACGCATCTCGAGTGTTATCACGGACTGTGATTTACCCTATATTCTATAGTATTTGTTATAATGCGATTTTCCATAACGCTGTGTTCTTCAGGAAAACAACTACTGCATTATAGGACAGACAGTACATAGAAACTGCGTCTTGCTACGAGGCCGCGCACAGTCTCGAATCCACTCCGCAATAAATCCACTCCGCGTTGCACTAACGCGAGTTCACGTGCTGGGCAAGGAAGGGCTGCGCCGCGCAGGGCGTGCCGGCCTTTGCCGGCGCTCACCGACCTCGCTGGCGGGGATGCGCTGGCGCGACGGGTACACCAGCAGCCGGCGCAGCAGCTCCACCGCCTCGGGTGGCGCGTCCGGAACCACCTCCTCCAGGGGCAGCGCCGCGTTCTCCCGGAACGCGATCTTGTTGTAATCCGGCAACTCCGTTATCTCCTGTCAGGGGCACCGGTGGAGTGAGAGTGGTGGTGGTGGTGGTGGGGGGTAAGTGGGGCGAGTTGAGTGCGGCGAGGTGGGTGAGGCAGGTGAGTTGGATGAGTGCGGGGAAAGGTGGGGGGGGAAAACGGGGAGAGCGGACAAATCGTCACGTGGAAGGTGGCGATGGCTGCAGGCTGACAATGATGACGACGACGATGATGATCATGATGGGAATGATAAGAAAGATGATGACAGGGAGGTAACGGTTCAGCCCTTCCTCTTAGGCAAGTTGAAGGATCGTCGCGACTTGTTGTGACAATTTGAGCCAAGGGATAATTAACTGGTCTCGCTGGCTCACTTGTGTCGTTTCATCGGTGCCGTTTCATTTGTACATTTCTACATTCTTGTCTTACAATGTCCGCCTCCGTCCTTCTGTCTGCACCGTTTGTACGCCAACGAGCGGCAAGCGAACCTATCCGACACCTGGACGTGGCCTCAATGTGTGGATGACGACTCACGAGTCGCCTGGTAGCGAGGGTGTCTGTACCGGCCACACGTGCTGGTTGGGGGTCCCCAGCACCCGCAGCACGCAGCACAGCTGCTCGATGTCGTTCTCTCCGGGGAAGAGCGGGGAGCAGTTGAGCAGCTCGCCCAGGATGCAGCCCACCGCCCTGTGCGACGCACACAAAGACAAAGATCCCCCGTGCAGCCTTAACAGACTAGGGACAAGTGCTGTTAGCAAGCACCTATGAAGGCTAGCAATGGCACACACGAAGGTATGGGTAGCCAGCACCACGCCCGACCGCCTTTGTCTCCCCAGTGGCGATGTATAAACACTGCACCAGGTACTCAATTGAGGATGAGTCGACCTAGGTGAGGCCCAGTACCAGTTCAGATAATTGTTACTGGTGTTGACCGTGAGCGGGAATCGAACCCGTGTCGCCGGGTTCATGATCCAGCGCGCTAACCACTGCACTACTGCTCCCTACGCGCGACGCGCACACACGCACAAGCAAAGACACGCCCGCAGTTAAATGAACGCGCGAGTGCACACGCAGAAGCGGCCGGGTGGCTCAGGGCAACGACACCATTTTGGAGACGTTGAACTGGCACCGAATTAGCCAATGCAGGACCCTCCTAAAAGGTCTTGAGACTTCCTGCAGAAATAGACAAATGACGTTTTGTAAATTCCAGTGCAACTAAACGGACAGAGGAACGGAAAAATGGAGGGACTGACGGATAAACTGGTGGGATTCTCTGTAACACACCGCAGCCTCGGAGCGGCACACGATCGTCTCTCTCCGTACGCCGTGGCGCGATTACGAGCAGGCTGGCGCTTATTCGATAGCTTATTAGGCTGGCGCTTACCACAAGTCCACACCCTCGTCGTACTTTCGGGCTCCGTACAGCAGCTCAGGTGCGCGGTACCAACTTGGGTTGGAGTTCACGCCACCCGACAAAACAAACACCGACACACACGCGGCACCGTGTCAGTACTCATCCCGCGAAGCACTCCGTCTGTGGTCCTGGTAATCCTCACGTCTCGTGTTAAATCGGTCAAACCTGCGAAGATGCCTGCGACAAAGTGGCGCGTCACTTGCAAGTGAGACCCAGTGCACGTGGAAAATGTTGGTCCAACGGTTCCAACCACATGTCAACGTTGGCCAATGTTGCTCGTTTACAGGGGACCTACCGTAGGCCCAAATGGGGCATTAGTGAAATTAACATTGGGTAGAAACATCCAACGATGGTGAAACATTCGGATTCTTACTGTGGCATACACTCAGCAGTCAGGCTGCCTCTTACACAGAGTGACAACTCACCCCACGACTGCTGACCCTCTCTCCCACGCGTGCTCACCGCGTGGCGACCTGGTGGCTGTAGAGGCGGTCTCCGTCGTTGGAGAAGACGCGCGCGAGGCCGAAGTCGGCGATCTTGAGGTGGCCCATGGAGCTGATGAGGAGGTTCGCTGGCTTCAGATCCTGCGAAACGAAGATCCCCCGTATCAACAACGATCCACCGTGCTCGGCCGCCTTTGTCTCCCCTCGCACCTCCGATTATCACGGTTGGCTACGCACGGTTGCGAGAGAAGTTCAACAAACATACAGTGCTGTTTACACACTCGATCAGCTCCTCATTGAAGGCTAAGTCGACCGAGGGGATGACCAAGACCGGTTGGGATATTCGTCTCCAAATTTTCGCTGAGCAGGAATTGAACTGGGGTTGCTGGGCTCATAGTGCAGCTCACTACACTCCACTCCCGCTCCCCAGAAGGTCCAGCACACACATGGACCAGAGACAAATGCTGCTTTTCCACTGTCAACTGAACCGTACCAGGACTGTGCTGAGCCTGCCCGGCACTGCTCGGGAGGCGCCGTGTTGTTTTTCCACTGCGTAGCCCTTGCCGTGCCGCTAGCCATCGCACACGACGAGTTGCACTGCATGAAGAAGACGTGGTGAAACCGTTGTCATGGTGTGCTTACGTCCCGAGTACAGAATAGGTCCTTAGCCCCACCCTGGCTCCCGTGTTTTTCCATTAACCAGATTTAAGATGTCTTGTGTAGCCAGCAGAGCACGGGTTTGGCTCCGGCTCGGCTCTGCAAATAGCCAGTGGGAAACAGCTGCACTGGCTGTGCTCGGATGTATGAGTGTAAACAATAAATAATATCTATTTTTTTTTAAGTGTCATAATATGCAACCGCATCGCACAATGCTGCACAGTCCGCAAACACACAGGCGCAAATTGGATAAGATGTTTTCAGCCAATACTTAAAGAGTGTTCATACATGTGGGAGGAGACCGGAACACCCAGAGAAAACCCACACGTGCGACGGGGCAACACTCTACCCTCTAAAGATGGCACGTGATATTCGTCCAGACTGGTGCCGAAGATGGCAGCCTTCACGCGCCCCACCCTGTTCAGTGAGAAATCACGATTAATACCATCATCAACCCGGCGACCGAACATCGATCAACGCTCTCACGGTCTCCAGAGCAGCAACAACTCAGGTCCCAGCTTTGCTGCACTGAACCGCCTTCTCCTGGGAGCCAGGGTACGGCACCTCACCGCCCACGAGAAGGGAGTTTCGCAACATTTGTTGCGGTGATCCACCAACACTCCTCTGCCTCCACAGCGCTGGATTACAGGCCACGTGCATTGCCACGACTACCCCAGAAAAGAGAGATCGCATCGCACCCACACGCACACACGTGGTCGGGCTGCAAGGTCGTGCGCACGCGTGTGGTTAGCAGCCCGCGGGTGAGATGCCAGGGCTGTCGTGCACGTGCCCGCGCGTGCCACTCGCCCTGTGCATGATGGAGTTGTGGTGGCAGAAAGCGACGCCCTTGAGCAGCATGCTCATGTAGCTCTTGACGTGCGCCTGGGAGAGCGGGCGCTCCGAATCGCGGATCACTTCGGCCAGGTCTGACAGCATGAACTCGAACGCGAGCACGAAGCCCGTGCCGTGCGGGAAGACATCGCGCAGCTTGACAACCTACGCGACGCGACCGTCGTGACATCGCAGCGTCATTTTCACCTTCGTTTTATGCACATTTTCACCATCGTATTCACCATCAATTAAATGTAATATTACTTACGGGCAACCGAGTTGTTTCTACGTGTGGCAGCCCACATACTCTGGAATTCTCTCCCAGGAGATATCTAGACATACAAACTTATCCAGATAATTCAGTTTAACTTTTAGATAATTCATCAAATAGCTTTGACGATTTATTTTATTACTTTGCCGTGTCTTAGTGTTTAGTTTCATGAGTTTTTGTCACCGTCGTTTTCACCATCAATTAATTTAAATTTTACATACATTTCACTATAATTGTCAGAATCATTCCACTATCATTTCACCAATGTTTCGCCGTCATTTAGCCATCATTTGACCATTCATTCACCATCAAAACGAGACATCACCCAGCAACCTGCGCTGTTGTGACGATGTGCCGAGCTGTCGATGAATGTCACCTGTCTCAGCTAGCGGCGAGTGCTGTGAATTGCGTGTGCACGGATTGATCGTTTAGGGTTTAAGTGAATTATACCACGTGCAGATCACGCGACGGTGTTGGGGTGAATTAACGTCGTAAAAGACAACACAAATCGAGGAGAAAGGGTGTGCGGGGGAGAGGAGTCTACAGGAGAGGGTATGGAATTAAAAGCCAAGGGGAGAAGGGTCTAGATCAGTGGTTCTTAACCTGGGTTCGATCGAACCCCGGGGGTTCGGTGAGTCAGTCTCAGGGGTTCGGCGGAGGTTAAGACACACACCCGACTCATATGACTGTGCACCAGTAAAACAATACCCATGTTTTGAATTAGAAAAAAATCATATTTTATTTTTCCAATTAATAAGGGTTCGGTGAATGCGCATATGAAACTGGTGGGGTTCGGTACCTCCAAAAAGGTTAAGAACCACTGGTCTAGATGGTGATGCCAGGGTCTGGTAGAGAGAGGGTCGGGTAGAGATAGGGTAGGATAGCTGAGAGGGTCTGTAGGAGATGGCATAGGGGAGCGGCTCTGCAGTGAGAAGGTCGGAGGGAAGGGTCTGTGGGGAGAGTAGGGGAGAGTAGGGGAGAGGGGGCTGAAGGGAGGGGACAGGGGTGCCCTCACGTAGGGGTTGTCCTCGATCTCCTCCAGGGCCTTGATCTCGCGCAGGGCCTGGTTGGGAATCCCATCCTCCAGACGCCTCAAGGCCACCTTCTTCAGCGCCACTGTCTCCCCACTCTGTGGACACAACAATAGTGAGGTCACCATGGTGCTCGTGCCAGGCTAGGTGCACTTGGAGGCCACGCATGTGTTGCAGGCTCACTGGCGGTGAGGTCACGGCACATATGTAAATACATATATTAGACAGAAATATAGAAAGAAAATCCCTATAAATATATACATATATGGCTTGATTTATTTTCTATGCATATTTTGTGGGTCACTGCTAAATCAAGAGGTGGTACGCGATCAGTAGTAGCCACAGCCATATGAAAGAAGTATACTGGATGTGGTATACCGGGTAAGGAAATAGTTCCACGGGTCGCTGACCCGAACAGGACCGGTTGAAATTAAGCCCTTCATATATACTGTACATGCATATATACGTAAACTTGATTTGGAGCTTTCGTAACTGCAGGAATTACTGTTTGGTTCTTTCGGTAAAGTCACTTAGAAAGAAAAATATATTAAATAGTAGCATACGACGTTTTGATTGCAACACAAGCAATCATCATCAGGTACGAATGAAAGAGAAAACAAACCTAGTAAAATTTCGATTTAAAGCTTTCGTGACTGCAGGGATTCATATTCTTGGTTCTTTCGGTAAAGTCACGTAGAAGGGAAATAATAAAAATATAAAACAATACAATTCTCACGACGTTTCGACTGCAACACAAGCAATCATCATCAGGCGTGACTTTACCGAAAGAACCAAGAATATGAAACCTAGCAAACTTAGAAATATATACACCCTGACATAGGCACATGCTCAATAAACATGGAACGATAGGCCATCATTACCCAACGTTGGTCCAACAGTTCCAAACACGTGCTGACGTTGGCCCGACATTTCCATGTTGACTGGTTAGCGGCACATATTGGAGATATCGTGTAAACGTGTGAGTGGTACAGGGTCAGTGACACGCTGTGTTCTCGACGTGCCATGCTAATTCTCACGCCACGTGTTTCTTGCCTTGTCAGTGACGTATGTCAGTGGAGTAGTAGTTTATGATGTTGCGCCGTATGTCCCACGTGCTTGCAATGTCAGTGACACGCGGACTGGGCCCTCTCACCTCGATGTGCTTGGCTCTGAACACGATCCCATGGGCCCCTTCCCCGATGCGACCCAGGATCGTGTACTGCTCCATTGCGGGGCCCCGACAAATACCCAGACCCAGGGAGACAGAGACCCCTCCACCTCTCTTAGTCTCTCTGAAGATGCGGTCTCTCTTCTTTCTTCTTGGAGACGCGGATAAAGCCTCTCCTCTCCCAAATAACGCGCGGCGTCTCTGCTTTGCCAGCAGTCAAGGGTCATTTGCCCTTTCTTCTCTTGCCGCGAGACAGGATATCACTTCTCTCCCAGGAGATGGGGGGGGGGAGGTCTTTCCCCTATCCTCTTCCAAGAGATGGAGACTGTCTTGTCTGCTGGAGGAGACAGGGTCAAGATACGGGTTCGTCTCTCCACTGCCCTCTCATGCGACAGGGTCTGTTCCCTTTCCTTCTGTGGCAGGGTTTAGGGGTCTATTATTGATCTATTCTCGTCTCTGCTGGAAGGAATGGTCTCTGTGTCTCTCCTTCCCTCTTCTCCCAGAACCGGGGTGTCCCCTGCTGCTATCCTCGGAGACGGAGCGGGTGGGAGGTCTTCCCAACCTTTACTTCTCCTTGCTCATCCCAGGAGATGGGAACCACTCACACATTTCTCTCTCTCTCCAGATGGGTTCTCTCTCCTCTCCCTACCTCCGACGAGAAGACAGAGATTTGCTCACCTCCTTTCCTCCTACCCTAGGAGCCAGAGGATCTCTCCCTCGGAGCCAGGAGCTCTCTCTCTCCCTAGGAGCCAGACGCTCTCTCTCCCTAGGAGCCAGACGGCCTCTCTCCCTTCGCTCTCTCTCCCTAGGAGCCAGGAGCTCTCTCTCTCTCCCTAGGAGCCAGACGGCCTCTCTCCCCTCGCTCTCTCCCTAGCAAGGATGACACGCAAATTCTCCCTAGGAGCCAGACGGTCTCTCTCCCCTCGCTCTCTCTCCCTAGGAGCCAGACGGTCCCTCTCCCCTCGCTCTCTCTCCCTAGGAGCCAGGGACTCTCTCTCTCCCTAGGAGCCAGACGGTCTCTCTCTCCCTAGGAGCCAGACGGTCTCTCTCCCCTCGCTCTCTCTCCCTAGGAGCCAGGGACTCTCTCTCTCCCTAGGAGCCAGACGGTCTCTCTCCCCTCGCTCTCCCTGTTGACTCGTTGTCGTTATGGGGACCCGCGTGTGGGGGCATCGATTTACGGCACCTAGCGCCGTCGCAAAAACAACATTTTACGACACACGCGAGTGCACAAAGACAAAGGTCCCCCCACCCCCGGTGTAGCCTTCGCGTCCGTTGTTGAGGCAAGGGCTGTGAACGGGGGTGGTGGGGTGACGTCACATCCGCTTTACGACAGCCGTAAGGAGGGTTGCTCAGGGCGGCCTTCGCTGGGTGAGGAGGTGGGTGAAGAGTGGGTTGTGGTGGTTAGGAGGAGGAGGTGGTGGTGGGTGAGGAGGTGGTGGTGGTGAGTAAGAAGGATAGTTGTGCGTGAGGAGGAGGTGGTGTGGGTGACGAAGAGGAGTGGTGAGTGAGGACGAGGTTGTGGTTGACGAGGTGGTGGGTAACGAAGAGGAGTGAGTGAGGCGGACGTGGTGGTGAGTGAGGAAGAGGAGGTGGTGAGTGAGGAGGTGGTGGGTAACGAAGAGGAGTGGTGGGTGAGGAGGAGGAGGTGGTGGGTGACGAAGAGGGGGTGGTGGGTGACGAAGAGGAGGTGGTGGGTGGCTGACGAGAAAGCAGGTGCTGAGTGACGAGGAGGAGTGGTGGGTGAGGAGGAGGAGGTGGTGGTGGGTGAGGAGGAGGTGGTGGTGGAGGAGGAGGCCGTACAAGGCGCTCGCAAACTCGGCGCGTCGACATGGGGAAGGAGAAGGCCGGCTTCCTCACGCCCAAGGCGATCGCCAACCGCATCAAGGCCAAGGGCCTACAGAAGCTGCGATGGTATTGCCAGATGTGCCAGAAGCAGTGCCGAGACGAGGTGAGGTTATCCCCGTCGTCGTCATCATCACCGCCGCGTTTATGATTAAGTTCAAGTTCATTTACTAGGTATAGCCCTGTGAGCCATTCGGCTCTTGAATCGGGTGCAACCGCAACAAACAAAAAACAAAAACATGAACAAAAAATATCTTAAAGTGACTATGTGACTAAGTGCAAACAGAAAATCCAAGAAAAGACAGCAAAATATTGCAGAAAAAAACACCGTACACCAACGCTGTGTGCAAAAATCCCAGTGGGATGCAAGTCAAACAACAACAACAACCACAAGACAACTTAGATTAAGGCCATCAGTCTAACTCTGTACTACAACAAACAAACATGGCCAAACCAATACACTTTTCGAAATCACCAACGCATGATTTTGATGATTGGTGCGTTTTTGGCAATGGTGTACAAGCATAAATAATAACAATACCAGCATAACTCAACGCGTCCCGTGTTAATAACGTCGCCTCAGAGACGACGTTTTGGGCAATGGCCCTGATTCATAACACATGACCGTGGGGCGGATGTGTTATATAAATAATTATATTTTACGCTGGAGAGAGATGTATGAAAGAGACGTCTTAGTAACTATTGACCGTTTTCCCATTTTTTTTAAAGGTTACTGGTGATGCAAATCAAGACTGGTCACTGTCATCATTGATCCTGTCTGTTCATCCGTTAATCATCACTAGTTTTATCATCAAAGTAATCATCATTGTTTCATCACCAGCCATCAAAGTGATCATCATTGTTTCATCACCAGCCATCAGTAGTTCATCATCATCATCAGTCTCATCATCCTCTTCAACGTTAGCTTACCAAATTGTCCCTCATCAGTTGTTCATTACGGTAATGTAGTTATATCTGATAATATAATATTTATATTATCAGAGTGGTTTTTTTTTGCATTTTGACTGCAAGTATTGTGGCTAATGCAGACATGAATCCTTGTAAAACGGTTTCAGTTTTGTTGCCATAAAAAATAGGGAAACACCCTATTATATTTTGGTACTGGCAAAGGAGGTCTAATGATGTAGTTATATCTTGTTCACCTTCATAATCCTCATCACTTAACCTTTATCATAGCGACCGTAATAATGTCATCAATTCATCATGAAATGGGGCGTCACGGTTGCGAGATGTTAACTACCTCGCCTGATATACAAGCTCAGTGGGCCTTACCTGGTGACATGAAATAGTTTTTAGTTTAGTTAAATCACCATTTGTTCACCATCACAATCAATTGTACTCTTTGGTTCTTCCGGTAAAGTCACGTAGGTAGAAATAAAATAAAACAAATCACCACGTTTCGATCGCAACACAAGCAATCTTCATCAGGTGGAACAACCACAGCAAGAAAAAATGCTGAATATTGCTTGTGTTGCGATCGAAACGTCGTGATTTGTTTTATTTTATTTCTACCTACGTGACTTTACTGAGGAACCAAAGAGTATGAATTCCTGCAGTCACGAAAGCTTCAAATCAAGATTCATAATAAATTGGTTAATAATCATAATACTTAGTTCCGTCATTATCCAACCGAGTTCCGTCATGATCCGTCATCAGTTATCGTCATCAATTGTACATGATCACCACCGTTAGTTGTGGTTCTTCTTGATTACTGACTGGGCCAAATGTATCTGCCGTTCACAGAATGGTTTCAAGTGCCACTGCTTGTCCGAGTCTCACCAGCGGCAGCTGTTGTTGGCCTCGGAAAACCCCGAGAACTTTATGGACTTCTACTCAAAGTGAGCTTGGCCCCTGCTAAATACAACCAGAACCATGTTCCTGCAGGCTCAACATCCACCCCTTTGCCTGCGACAGTGTATTTGTGTGTGGGTGTTTCCTCCCATGAAGTGTCTTCTAACCGTAACGTCATCTCAATGCCCTCCCATCTGTCGTATCTTACTCCTAATTTCCTGCACTGAAAATCTTCCACCCACGTGGCAGAAATACATTATTGGCATTGGCCACAAATCCCAATATTGGATTCTCCTGAAAAAGAGTCTTGAGACTCAGGCTTTTCCTAGTAGATAAGTTATGATATTGTTACTGTTTGTTTTTTTCCGGTAAAGTCACGTAGGTTCAAAAATTAAATTAAATCATGACTCTTACGGGCGCAACACAAGCGTCCTTCTTCAGGTGGGGACAACTTAGCGAAAGCAAACCGCGTAAGTGTGTCAACACACTTAGCGAAAGCACACCGCTTAAGTGTGTTGACACAATTAAGCAGTGTGCTTTTGCTAAGTTGTCCCCACCTGAAGAAGGACGCTTGTGTTGCACCCGAAACGTCGTGATTTAATTTATTTAATTTTTTTATCTACGTGACTTTACCGAAAAAACCAAAGAGTATGAATGCTTGCAGTCACGAAAACTTCAAATCTAGAATTATGATATTGTTGCTTAAGTTGGCTACAACATCCTTTAACCATAACCCTAACCTAAAGCCAAACTCTAACCCTGACTCTAACACTAACCTTAAATCTAACCCTAGCTAGAGCATTCTTTCCTGCATTGAGTGACAGCCCACTCATGATGACAGCCCACTCTTGATGACAAGCACTCGTAACTATGCCTTGTGCTGCTTTGAGAATAAGTAAATAACTGTAATTTGACAACCGATTTGAGTATTGTAATGTTCAGTGACAATGAAGTTAATCTCTTGTCCTTTTTTTCCCAGTGAATTTTTGAGTGACTTCATGGAACTTCTCAGTCGGAGATTTGGTAAGGAGAGCATTTCTTACACAACTCAACGACCAACACTGTCTTTGCATTACCTCATTATTAACAGCATATTAAAGTTAATTACATTTTCTTGAACGTTCAATAAATATGCCACGTCTTTTTACCAGTTTCTTGTTTTTCTTCAATACAGTCGTTCTTATTTTTTGTTTGATAGAGCCCAGACAATCCGGTAATATATCTGAAATTGTCATAAATGCTGAAATGAGCATTGGGCGATGCAAACAATTTCCACATTCTTATGACAGGGACCAGCTTCTGTATTCAAAAAATGAATAACCTCTCACAAAGTGTTACTGATTTTATTTACCCCAGGAGTTATTATGATAGTAGAGTCTAGCCCTGACTCATTTCTGGAATGCGAGTTGGGTGTTTAATTCGCAGCCAATTCTAGATTAATTACAGTATTTAATGATGGTGCTGCTGTGTTGGCAGTGGTGCACAAGCACCGCTAACAAACAAAAAACACTCGTTCGACATTCGTCAATAACAGTCCAATAATAATACTCCCCATTCTACCTCGGACCCCTCTCTACACTGTGAAGAAGGACCATTGCCCAAAACGTTACCAATTATATACTTTTAATTTCAGGCCAGTGTTGTTAACAAATGTGCCGAGTTTTATCCGTGTTTAGATGGTTTTATTGGGTAGCGTCTGGCTCTTAATGGAGCACCGCGCGCGAGCGCGTCTTGCACGGCAGGAACCAAGAGGGTCCACAACAACATGGTGTACAACGAGTACATCTCGCACCGCGAGCACGTGCACATGAACTCCACCAAGTGGGAGACGCTCACCGACTTGACCAAGTGGCTTGGCCGCGAAGGTTCGTGTTTACGCACACACACACGTGTATGCGCTCATGCACGTACACCGCCGATTAGCACGGTCGGCTACGTACGGTGCAAACGAAGTTCAACATACATACATATACATGTGTGAATGCACTCATGCTTGCATTACCAGCCATGGTTTATCCACTGCTGGATGAAGATTGAATGAATGTAACTGAAAGAGAGAGTGAGAAGAGTAGAGTGAGATGAAAGGGCAGAGGTAGGTGAGTGCGTGGAGTGGAACAGAGTGAGATGAGAGGGGAGAGGTAGGAGAGTGTGGGGAGGGGAGTCGAGTGAGAAGAGAAATGAGAAATAGGGAGGTGCAGGTCTATGTAGGATCTTGAGATGGCGAGTGCAGTCTTGGAATTGATCTACGATTGGATTGGGAGCCGGTTGAGCAATCGGAGTATCAGGGCAAAGTGGTCTCAATTAACGGTGCGGCTGGAGCTTTGAGAAGTCGCATGGCTGTGGAGGAGGGCAGAAGGGGGCGACCTCTCACCGAGCTCACGAGAAGCCAGTTGCCGGTATCGGGCGCGCAGGCTACTGCAAGGTGGATGAGACGCCCAAGGGCTGGTACATCCAGTACATTGACCGTGACCCCGAGACGATCCGGCGCCAGCAGGAGCTCGACAAGAAAAAGAAGCAGGACGTGGATGACGAGGAACGCGCCGCGAAGTTCATCGAAGAGCAGGTCCGGCGCGGCAAGGAGGGCGTCGAGGAGGTGAGTGAGGGGCGGGATTGTTTGTTGAGCCAGAGAGGATTCCGTGCATGGCGATGCATGCCAGAGTAAGACCAGCAAGAACGTAGAGCAGGGGTCGGGAACCTTTTTGACTGGGAGAGCCATAAAAGCCAAATATTTCTAAATATATTTCATTGAGAGCCATATAGTATTTTTTACGTATAATAAATTAAATATGTCTTACTTTTAATGCGACTTCTGGTGCTGCATGGTTTTGCTGATGGCCTTGTAGTCAGGTTCGTACGTGGTGAGGTTGAGCTTCATGCAGGCGTGACCCGTGAAATTTATCTTCAAAACTAATTTCTGTTTACTTTAAAATGACACAGTATTATTAAGCAATATCACAAGTATTTTAAAATCAGTTCCAAACTGATTTTTTATTATTATTATTTTTTTTTCAACTCAAAATTGTCTGGGAGCCATATGCCGTCACTGGAAGAGCCATATATGGCTCGCGAGCCATAGGTTCCCGACCGCTGACGTAGAGGAATAGCAAGAACGTACTGGGTAGACACGCCGAAGAACGTAGAGCAGAAAGGATTAGACGTGAGCAGTGCAAGAGAATTAGTCCGAAACAGAAGGAACCTTCATTTAGCCCCCTCGTGTGTATTGATGTGGGGGGGTGTGGAAGTGTGTGCGAGTGTGGGGTTCATTTTCTTCGATCTTTCGGTAAAGTCACGTAGAAGGGAAATAATAAAATAATAAAAATAAAACATAATAAAATAATTCTCACGACGTTTTGGCCACAACACAAGCAGCCGTCCTCAGGTGAAAACCAGGTCTGTCGCCTGCTTGCGTTGTGGCCGAAACGTCGTGAGAATTTTATTATGTTTTATTTTTATTATTTTATTATTTCCCTTCTACGTGACTTTACCGAAAGATCCAAGAACATTAATCCCTGCAGTCACGAAAGCTTTAAATCGAAAAATGAGTGTGGGGTTGTTTTGGTGGTGTGTGGGGGGACCTGTATGAGTGTGGGGGTGCAGTCGGGTTGGAGAGTGGTAGTGTAGTGGTCAGCCGCACTGTGCTATGAACCCGGCGGACCCGAATTCGTTTCCCGTTCACGACCATTAGCAGTGGTGAATATTTGAATCGGTTTTGGACCTCCCCTAGGTCGACTCGGCCTTCAATGAGTCTCTGATGTGATATGGTAAACAGCAGCACTGCGGAGACAAAGGTGGCCGGGTGTTGTTATGGTCACCCACCCCTTCGTGTACTGTCGGCCTTCATAGGTGCTCGCTGGCAGCACTTGCCCCAACAAGTCTGCTAAAGGCTATACGGGGGATATTTGTCTTTGTGTGGTAGTGTTTGGGGTGGTGTGTCGGTACGTGTGCGCGCATATTATTTTGTAGCCTGCACAAGGACTGGTATGTGGCTGTGCGTTCATGCATGCGTGTGTGGGTGTGGGTGGGTGGGTGAGTGCCAGTGTGGTTGGCACAAGTAAATAACACCGGAGCCCCACTTTCTCCACATCCGCCATCGTGTGCGATGGATGCCGACTGAGTGACCCTCCGGCTTGTGGTGTGTTCAGCAGGAGGAAACGTCCGTCTACACGGAGCTGAAGAGAGAGAGCGAATCCCAGCTGGGTGCGTGTGGACACTTGCACACCCATGGCCAGTTTGTAATCCTCCCACTTTGGTCAGGGCCTCCTCTAGGTCACCTCAGCCTCTATTTGTTCACATGGGTTCAGCGTATCAATATTAACATTGTGTCATGGACTTGCCATAGCGCTTACGACGCCACCCACACTCGTGTTGTCATTAGAGCTTCTAAAGAAGATAGAGTCCGAAGGACTAACAGCTTGCAGCTACATGCCTCGGTTATGGTGTCAAGGACTTCATAAATGATGGGATAGACTTCACATGTATGGCTCGTGCTATTGTGATCATGCAACCCAACCTATGGACCATATAGTAAACCACCATCATCTGCACTCCTTCTCTCCTGAAGCCCTCTCATGATTCGCAAACCTCGAATTGGCATTTAGCTCCTAAACATATTGCCATACCATTGGTACCTCTCGATTTAAAGCTTTCGTGACTGCAGGGATTCATCTTCTTGTTTCTTTCGGTAAAGTCACGTAGAAGGGAAGTAATAAAATAATAAAAATAAAACATAATAAAACAATTCTCACGACGTTTCGGCTACAACGCAAGCAGCCGTCTTCAGGTGAAGAATGAGACACTACCAAACTAGGAGCTTATATGCAGCTTATATATAAGCTCCTAGTTTGGTAGTGTCTCATTCTTCACCTGAAGACGGCTGCTTGCGTTGTAGCCGAAACGTCGTGAGAATTGTTTTATTATGTTTTATTTTTATTATTTTATTACTTCCCTTCTACGTGTACCTCATTTGCCAGTAAAAAAATATGATAATTGGTTTTTTACCCTTTATCTGGCAACAAAACTGACACCTTTTTTACGAGGAGTCATGTTTGCATAGACTACAATGCCTGCAGTCATAATGCAAACAAAAAACATAACTCTGATAATGTAAGCACTGTCCTTGAAGTTGATTGGTCCACACCCGAGACAGCTTTCCTTAGAGCCTAGTCTCACATGGGTTGGACCAGATGACGCCAAAAGGCGCATAACTGATGGTGCATTGTCTTTGAGACTAGGCTCTAAGGAAAGCTGTCTCGGGTGTGGACCAATCAACTTCAAGGACAGTGCATACATTATCAGAGTTATGTTTTTTGTTTGCATTATGACTGCAGGTATTGTGGTCTATGCAAACATGACTCCTCATAAAAAAGGTGTCAGTTTTGTTGCCAGATAAAAGGGTAAATAAACAATTATCATATTGCCATACGCAAGAATAGAATAGTGCATTTCTACAAGGCAAGAGCTGATCGTTTTTTTGTTTAGATATAGCTTGAATCTCCCTCTTACTAAGTGCTCACCAACAGTGCTTGACCCTTCATTCCGTGTACTTAAGTGGGAGGTGTCATGTGGTTGTGTCTGTGCAGTGACGTTCAGCATGGGGGCCGGCACCAGCACGTCGTCTGCATCACTGAGACCCAGGTCAGCCTCCCTGTGCCCGTTTATGCTGCCCCACCCCCCTCCACCCCGAACCTCCCTATCAGCCACCCACGGTTTTGTGCAGCAAGGTTACACGGGTGTTGCGCAGTGCGGTTACACCTCTTGTGCCTCGCAGCAAGAAGGACCTGGGTTCGATTGTTGGCTCGGGCACCCTTTCTGTGTGGAGTCGGTATATTCCTTCCCCCTGTTCTGCGTGTGTTTGCTCAACGTTTCCTGGAATAACCATTGTCACGTCTTCCGCACACCTGCATCCCATCGGCAGTGCCCTGGCGAGCGCAATACAGCCGGGTGGTAGCACAAAGAGGAAAGAGAAGGGCCCCGTTGTGGGCGAGAAGGATGGCAAGAAAAAGAAGTCTGCGCTCGATGACATCATGGAGGTGATGTTCGCATGTGGGCCTTTCCCACAAATGACACGCACGACGTGAGGCGTGTATCTTCCCGGGCAGCAGTGGCTACGCACGCCTGTAGTAATTTCAGCACTGTGAAAGCAGCGAGAGTTGGTGGATTGCACCCGTTGGAATGCCCCCTTCCCAATGACGTCGAGGTGTCAGACCCTGGCTCGCCAGAAGGTCGGACGTTAAAATGTACACTGCATCTCTTTTGTCTGTATGGCGAAGAGTTTTGCCCCCTCACACGCGTGTGATTTCTTCGGGTGCTCTGGCTGCTTCCCACACACACATATATACACTTGTGAATTGGCTGAACACCTTAATATGTAGAGGATCACAGAGCTTGGGCCATTGTTGACAGCGCCAGCTCGTTGCCTGCTTATCAGGTGGTTCCTCCTCGTGTCTCTGCGTCATTCTCTGACTTCGAGAGTGAGCGAATACTGTGCGGCGAATTACAAGTTTAAGTGATTACCGCACGCGCAGCTGCTTGTATCACAACGGCTATGGTTGATGTGATGGTTGGGGGGGGTGTGGAGGTGGAGATATTGGGGGTGAGCGTGGGAAGAGAGGTCGCTTAGAGCAGTACCTTCTCAACCTTCTTCACTTCACGGCACACTTTCGAGCTCGATTGATCTTCCCGGCACAACGAATCAAAAATATCCCACGGTGCTTCTGCGATTGAGGGGGGATTGAGAGGGCTGTGGGTGGGGGCTGACAGCTGCCTGCTGCCATACTGCGCACACGCGTGACCGATGGAAAAGGGAAGGGCGGGAGGTGGCGGACGGGGGCTTGATCGGCCACTGAACGGCATGGAGGAGAGTTAATGCGTCCTAGCTTGCGGACATTAGTGAGTTTCAATCTTGATTTGAAGCTTTCGTGACTGCAGGAATCCATACTCTTTGGTTCTTTCGGTAAAGTCACGTAGGGTAGAAAAAAATCCTATAATTCCAAAAAACGCAGCTCACCTGGAACTTTGCCACGGCACACTGGTTGCAAAGCAGTGGCGTAGAGGTTGGTAATGAAACTGGCGGCTCACTCGCAATTCAATTTCCTTCTTTCTGCAGATGGAAGAGCAGAAGAGGAAAGTGCAGAGAAGTGACTACTGGCTCCATCCGGTGAGGACTCCGCGGGACGCAAACAAACCACGACGATGCATGTAGCTGTGTTCACACCGAGTTCTTTGATGCTGCACTGCTGGATGAAGGCCTATCTCAAGCGGTGTCGGTCGTTGGGGTTGTTTGACCGTACCTCACCACGCTGGTCAACGTGGGTTGGTGAAGGCGGGAAGAGTAGTCAAAGTATAACAATGACCATTGCTGCCGCTGCCCTCTGCCGACAACGTAGCCCCACAGCAGCCTACAACACCTGTTTCGTTCACATTGGCCGGCCATTCAAACTATCCAGACTGAGCTTTGTCCAGACTGACTCAGCCTTCAATGAGTACCTGATTGTAGTTTGTAAACATCAGCACTGGGGAGAGAAACGCTGCCAGGCGTGGTGCTCGCCACCCACCTCTTCGTGTGCTTTGCCAGTTTTCATAGGTGCTCGCTAACAACACTTGCCCCAGCAGTCTGTTAAAGGCTACACGGGGGGATCTTTGTCCTTTTCACACGCTTTCTATTAACTCACTCTGTCTTGTTGTTGTCATATCCTCAAATCTTGTAACTAAATTTTAACCCACTTCCCAATGTGGTATCGACTGCAAACTTGGTATACGTATGTCATACTGATGACAATACTATATCCTATCTTTAAAAAATATAAACTATTTTTATAAACCATCTTTTTTATATGTTATGTTTCGGCTTTGGTCTAATTGTCCACGCTCAACTGACGTTGGCTGTAAATCACCACGGCCACTTACGTTATGGCAAGCTTCGGGGCCACTTCCTGGAGTCATGGAGTTATTCCATTACTAGTAGGGTACATTTCATTAAAGCGTGTTTTTTTTAAGTTTAAAAAAATATTATTTTGTGCACTTCGCCAGGGTATCGTGGTGAAGGTGATTACCAAAAAGCTGGGGGACCGGTACTTCAAGAAGAAGGCTGTTGTTCAGGTGCGGTATTCACGGGGCTACCCCAGGGTATGGCTGTAGCTGTTGAGGGCGCATGTGCGAACTGCATGTGCACGCACATAACAACAACAATCGCCGTTTGCCAATAAGTGGCGGTGATGTTTCCACATACATGCAGGGATTACATTTCAGTCGGGCATTGACCAGTTTGTTCAAACCGTCGGGAACCCCTTTAGCAAGCTATTTTACTTGGTCAATACATTTGTATAGGCATGTCTATAATAACAATAAAATTTATTTCATTGTTATTATAGGCATGCACTCCACCTCAAACTCCCATTGAGGCATGCATCATCGCGATCATAAGAATCGATTTAAGTCTGCTAATTAATGTATCCGTACATCGTGCACCGTGGATGCATAGGATCCACGATTACGACAATCGTTAGCATGCTGTCTGTCCGTCTATCTGTCCATTCAACTGTCCGTATATCCGACTGTCCGACTGTCTTGACTGTCCATCCTTCTGTCCACCTGTCCATTCATCTGTTTGTCTCATTTGTTTGTGCGTCCCATCTGTCTGTCCATTTGTGATGCGAGTAGGAGGTGCAGGGGAAGTACGTGGCGGTGGTACGCATGACAGACTCGGGTGACAAGCTGAAGGTCGACCAGATGCACGTGGAGACGGTGCTGCCAGCACTAGGTAACACCCGCAGGGTCATCGCTGGCATGTAGCAAACCATGGTCATCAATGTCATCATAATCATACTTCATGGGTTGACACATTGAGAACCACTTCTGTGGGAAGTCAGCAGTGAGTGATTATGGTAATGCTATGGATAGATTGGGGAGAGTTGAGAGCCCAAGATTCAGTGGGACCCCCAAGACCATTGCGGTTAAGGGATAGATGATGGTAAGACTGGGCCCCGCCTTGATAATGATGGAATTTCTACAGATAGCTGCCAGTGGAGGTGAGTGCCACCTCCGTTGTTTAATTGAACAGGGAGTAGTCACTTAGATGAGCACTATTGCTGCCATCAAAGTGGATGGATAATAATACTTTATACATTCTAAGTATCAAAATCATTCTAAGTATCAATATCAAGCAATGTCGATCCTAAGACAGAGTAAACAGGGCCTGTAACGATCCACCCCCAGGTGAGTTGATGGATCGTCAAGATTTTATTCGAGCATCGATAATTATTTTACGCCTTATGTTGACGTCTCGTTTGTATTGTTTCTTATTTGTAATGTGTATCGTGTGTGGCATTTGTACTGACCCTGTTATGTTTGCTTTCTCCCTAGGCACTGTCTCGTTTTATATTGTTTCTCATTTGTTCCCCCTCATTTGTTTTTTTGTTTCCTTCTTTACCATAAATTGAGCCCACTCGTCTGTGATTCGTCGTCACGACTCTGAATTGCTCTCTTTGAGAGTGATTAAATACTGTGGGGCGACGCCTTCCAAGGTGAAGTCGTTATTAAAATGAAAACTCGTATGTTTTTGTGTACAATTTACTTCAATATAAAACAATGTATTTCTGGCAGGCATTGGAAGTTACGTGTAGTACATTTTTTACTCGTTTCTCTTTTTCGTCGTGGGTTGTCGCGGCGCAGGCCGGAAGGTGCTGGTGCTGAACGGAGGCTACCGCGGTCTGGAGGCCGTGTTCAACGCCATCCACGAGGACCGCTTCTGCGTCAGCATCACCATCGACTCGGTGAGAGGCTCACGCTGGCTCCCACTCTCTCAGCGGTTAGCCCCCTCCCAGCCACTCGTTTTCCTCACCACTCCAAACTCGCCTCTCCAAACTGTCTCCTTTCGAAACTGCCCTCTCTCCCAACTCTCTCCTCTACCAAACCCACCCTCATCTTCTCCCAACTGCCTCCCCCAACTGCCCTCTGGAGCTCTTGCAAATCTCTCTTCTCTCTCTCAAACTCCCCCCTCCTCTCCTCCCAACTGCCCTCACTTCACAGAACTTATTTGTGAATGTCAGCAAGGTTTTGTGAGGTGGGGTTTGTGCAGTAGTGAACATAATACAATATTCCTTCTTAAAAGGCATGAGAATTGAGAACAGCCAAGGTCTTGCCTGTGGCCGAGCATTGCCCAATCGGTCACAGTGGTTATTCAGAATAGCAAATGTGTGTGTGTGTTTGTGTTTGCTGGCAGGGCCCCCTCAAGGGACGGAAGCTGGACAACATTCCGTACGAGGACATCTCCAAGCTCGCCTGATGACGATTTCCCACGACCTCTTTCTCATCTTGGCAATCGTCTCAAGATTAAAATGTCATTCGGACCACCACATCTCCTCCACCAGATCCTGCAGTTGCCAAACGCACGGTCGAGACCTCCCCAGATCACACCGCCATCTGGCGTTAGGTCCTTACCCTTATGGTTGCTGAACCGTAAGGAGAAGGTTGGTGGCCAGAACTATATAACAGGTGTAGCCACTTCATTCCCAGTGTTTGTGGGTGCCATTGGACTTCTTGAGGATCATCTGCCATTGCTGATAAAGTTTATCCTGGGTCCCCCTACCCTCTGGCACAGCGTGTAAAATATACAGTCCTTTAAGAGGTCCACTCTCCAAAACCTAGGTGTTGTGGCACACACACGGACACACACGTTCCTGCGATTTGTAATTGAGGGTGGTAGATCATACGGACATCCTCACATTTGTTGAGACTTGCAACCGACCGGGCTGCCAAGGTCACAGTGGGGTGGCAGCACAGGAAATAGAGTTCTTGACCCGCCTGTCTAGACTTGTTTAGCTTTGTCTGCTCATACGCGCGGTGGGGTTTATGCGGATCCTTTGGTTTCCTCTCACGTGTGAAACACTCATTGAAAAAAAAGGACATTGTATAAACGTTGTCAATGCAGGAACCTCCTGAAAAAAAAAGTTGTGAGGCTTTCCTGGATAAACATAGAACTGTTTTTTTATTATAATTGATGCAGAAGCCACACAAACTGCAGGGACATTTACACTGAGAGCAAGAACATTTTACCGCGGCATTTACAACCAGAAAATCGGCTGTGAAGGTTTGGGAGTTTACAAATCTAAATTGTGAGTTCATAGCAAAATGTGACTATCATACGGCATTGCTGCTTCCAATGAGGCATGTAGTGGTGTGGTTAATGTAGATCGACAGAAATCATTATTTTTTTCCGAAGATGCATTTAACCGTGTGATTCCACAAGAGAAGACAGTTAAAAAATATCAAAGTTTAGTTTTTTTCTTCTTGGTTCTTTCGGTAAAGTCACGTAGAAGGGAAATAATAAAAATAAAACAATAAAATAATTCTGACGTTTCAGCCACAACGCAAGTGGCCGTCCTTCAGACACTGTCTTCCCGACAGACCTGTTCTTCACCTGAGGACTGCTGCTTGCGTTGTGGCCGAAAAGTCGTGAGAATTATTTTATTATGTTTTATTTTTATTATTTTATTATTTCCCTTCTACGTGACTTTACCGAAAGAACCAAGATGAATCCCTGCAGTCACGAAAGCTTTAAATCGATATTGTTTTTTTGTATCTCTAATTAATTATCTTAATGGTGATAATAATAATGGAGTGGCAGCCGAGGAATGGAGTGGGTCAGAGAGGGATGCCCAGCGAGGAGGCTGAAAGGATCATGAAGCAGGATGGATTATTATTCAATAGCAGATTCGTGAGAGGTTTGGTTTGGTGGCAGCTGCATTGGGGGAAGCCCTTCATCCTGCAGTGGATTGACCATGGCTGATGATACTTTATTACAGTTTCCCTAACCATTATATCTCACAGTTGACCTTAAATATATTTTTGTAATATTCGCATATACATACTCGTGCAACAACCGCCGTTCGCCACTAAGTGGCGGTGACATCACGGTGTTTTTGCCAGGCTAGGTGCACCTTGAGGCCACGTGAAGTGTCGAAGGCTCGCTGGTAAGAGGTCACGGGGCAGACACTCGTGCATGTAAAGACATACACACAAAGACCCTCCTTTAGCCATACAGGTGGTTGGGACAAATGCAGACACTTGGACACATTCACTCTGGTAGGGGAAACAAATGTGAACAAAGAGAGAATCTTACATTCGTAAGATATGATGGTAGATCAAATAAATATCACATTGACGAGCAAGAGAGAAACGTAGTTTAAACAGGAGTAACTTTAATGGCATAAGAGTGGCGAAACGCCGTCGTTTCCTGCCAACTTGGAAGTTGAACGTGCAATGGCGCTCTGACATAAAACAAAACTTTGTATTTTATTTTACCAGTTAAAGTTCATTGAGCTATATAGCTCGTTTTCAAAAGCGACCTGGCCACAAATAAAAGCTCAACGGAGTGGCTGACCATGTGCAAATTTATAGCAACCACCAAATACTCTAAGGAGATACATTGTGTGTAAGGGCGCCTTGTAAACCTCAATTGAACAGGAAGTAGACGCATAACAGGGTCGGTACAGATTCGTAATTCACACAAAAATCAGTTCACCGCCTTGTGTCAAAGAACAGCCCCTGAAGAGATGACATGACGACGAACTACTGTTGAGGACCCTGCAGTTGCCGGAGAAGTGGTTTGAACGTGAATCCAGCAACGGGGGGCCCCGTTACTCAAAATCGACATTGAAAATAATTACCCCCACATTTGAGTAATTTAAGAATTAAGCATATGGTGAGTGATCCCGTACCGCGAAACTTTGCAGGATTTTCCTGCAAATGAGTAGTTTAGGCTTGGTGAGGCTTTCCTGGTTAAATGTCAGGGATTGATTGACCCGTTTAAGTATCCTTTGTTCTTGTGTTATCTTTCACTTGACAGTAGCTGTTATTTTTACCAGCCTGTAAATGTTTCGTTTAGCTGGGGCGCTTGTACGAGTTTGTGCGCTCCTTGATTTAGCGATGCTTATTGTCTTCGTAATAAACGACTGATTGTATTTTTTATGGACGTTAACGCGGCGATATATTCTTTCATTTTTGAGAAGTGCGCAGCTGTGTGAGCACGCTCGGTTCGAGGTTGACGTAGCCAATCATCATCTACATCAATTCAAGGGTGGATACAATGAGTACTGCCTTTTGGAAGTCTGCAGTTCATGTTTAAGTCTCGCAAGAGTGAACTAAGGTTACCAAAACGAGAAAAGCTAATAAAATAAAATAGCACCACAACAAAGAAATATAAATCGGAACTAAAACAACCGAACCACGGTTGTACTTTGGATAGACTGGTTCCTGCCATGGGAACGTGGAATTTTCACCGCCGAGACAACCAATGGAGATGGGGGGCCACCACGTTGGTCGTTTAAACAGCAAGAAGGTTGCTGCGTTGGTCTTTGACGGTTGTGCCTTGTAGCTCTCTCATGGGTGTCCCGATTGTGAATCTTATTCAGATTGTGAATCTTAACACATCAGAACCAGTGGCATCTGCAGAACGTGAAGAACCAGTGGCATCTACATCTGCAGAACATGAAGAACCAGTGGCATCTACATCTGCAGAACGTGAAGAACCAGTGGCATCTGCATCTGCAGAACGTGAAAAACCAGTGACATCTACATCTGCAGAACGTGAAGAACCAGTGGCATCTACATCTGCAGAACGTGAAGAACCAGTGGCATCTACATCTACAGAACGTGAAAAACCAGTGACATCTACATCTGCAGAACGTGAAGAACCAGTGGCATCTACATCTGCAGAATGTGAAGAACCAGTGGCGTCTACATCTGCAGAACGTGAAGAACCAGTGGCATCTACATCTGCAGAACGTGAAGAACCAGTGGCGTCTACAACTGCAGAACGTGAAGAACCAGTGGCATCTACATCTGCAGAACGTGAAGAACCAGTGGCATCTACATAAGTTGAAGAACCAGTGGTATCTACATAAGGTGAAGAATCAGTGGCATCTACATCACGTGAAGAACCAGTGGTATCTACATAACGTGAAGAACCAGTGGCATCTACATGTACATAAGGTGAAGAATCAGTGGCATCTACATAAGGTGAAGAATCAGTGGCATCTACATAAGGTGAAGAACCAGCGGTATCTACATAACGTGAAGAACCAGTGGCATCTACAGGAGATTATCCAACGTTTAAAGCCATCCCCCGTGTTTAGTGTACATGCCGTGCACCATGTTTACAATCGACAGGAGTAAAGTTGGACCTAAGCAGACATCGACTTACGAACAGACCTCTGGAACCTAACTCGTTCGTAAGTCGAGGAGTCCCTGTATTCGAATGCTGCCGTGGTACAATACTGGATAAGGATTATTATTCTTAGGTTTTTTCGGTAAAGTCACGTAGGTAAAAAATTTAAATAAAATAATAAAAATCACGACGTTTCGGAGGCAACACAAGCTTCCGTCTTCAGGTGGAACCGTCACAGCACGATTGCTGTATCAAGTAAAGCTTGTGTTGCCTCCGAAACGTCGTGATTTTTATTATTTAAAAAAATTTTGCCTACGTGACTTTACCGAAAAAACCTAAGAATATGAATCCTTGCAGTCACGAAAGCTTCAAATCTAGAATTAATGGATAAGGATTAGTTCCACTCTATTTGTTCCAATAGAGGTCTGGGGTTCGATCTCCCGGCACGGCAGTGTGAAACATCGCCTCTATCCATCGCAATGTGTCACACGATCACCAATGTCTATACACCGCAGCTCTCATGAAATTGTCTTTTCCGAGACCAAGGTTCTCTGCAAACCTCCTGGCTACCATCAACGGTTTGTACACGAAGGTATACAAATATACAAACACAGACATAATTTCAACCGTGATGATGGTTACAAACTGAGTAATCATTGGAAAGATGTGATTAACCATGCAAAAAAGATTTAACTACACTTATTTGGCCAATCTTATTTGACAGACAACTATTAAAGGTTTACCATGTTCAGTTGTTTTCTCCTTTTCACAGGTTGAGTCACAAACCGTACCTCTCCATAACAAAGGCTCACCCTCTTAAGCCTCACCTTACCATATGTGTAGGGGTGTTAAAGAGAGGGCCCGTTATGCATGGCAGCCTATGGAAAACAAACACAGTGGGCGGGGCTACGTAAGTGCACGAGGAGGTGCCCTCTACGACGTCCGAGCCAGACACCCTGGGGGGGGCTGGTTCGAACGTTATGATCCCCCGGGGCCCCACCCCTCAGGGAGGGGTTGGGTATAAAAGGGGATGTTCAAAGGGCTCGAGTCAGTTATGTTTAAGCTAAGGGAAGAAGACTGAAGACGTCTTAGATAGAGCCCTGGACTCCCCTAGTTCGATGTCCTTTTCAGGGCCGGACAGGACTGAGCCAGCGGCGTGGTCCCGAAAGCCAGAGCCGGTGCTCTTGTAAGAGCTGGTCTGGAACTCCGGGTACCGGGCCCGACTTACCAGTGTCGGGCCAGTTAGCCTCCCCTAGCCCATTAGTGGAGGATTCGGGGCTAGGACAGAGTTAGCTAGGGGTGTATCCCGAGTTATACGGGTGAGGGGGCCGATACCCCCTCGAGTGTGTATATGCCCACTGTCGTATTGTGAAATAAATATACGTGTGCCTCAACCTCGGCGTCAAGCGTCTTCACCGGTACTTCATATGAATAAAAAGTGTGCTGCACTTGCCCCTTCCCCCATCTCCAATCATTATATAAACGGAGTGGTAGCTCCTGCAATCTCTCATTTACTTGATACAGCTGTCGTGGCTGTGACGGTTCCACCTGAAGACGGAAGCTTGTGTTGCCTCCGAAACGTCGTGTATTTTATTTTACTTTTATTAATTTTAATGTTTTACCTACGTGACTTTACCGAAAAAACCTAAGAATATGAATCCTTGCAGTCACGAAAGCTTCAAATTTAGAACCGCAGCTTTAGTCTATGCTCGGAAGGAGGCGGGGTAAAGTTCGGCCGGTGTGGAAGAGTAGGCCAAATACCCTCGTCGACAGCTCCCTTCTCGGTGGAGTTCGTTCCGCCATCAGTGACGGCGTGGGTAGAAGTTGCACGGCTGCGCCTTTATCCTTGCAGAGGCAGTCACGTGTTACCCGGAACCTTTAAGTGTCAGTTCCCTGTTGCACCCCGGACGAGGCACACAACCGCGGCCTTGCCTCGACTGGCTGGGCGTCTTCCCGCCTATCTCGTTTAAAAGTAGCGAGTGTTTTATTTTGTTATTAAGCGGTAATTAGTCTAATTTTTGTTTATTTATATAAGATTACTTTCTAATAAGTTACGAGGAGCGTTTCATTGGTTCGTCAGCTATGGCGCACAGCCGGACCGGGAAGACTAAAGTCCCCGCCTCACAAAATAAACGGGTGAGTTTTTCTTTATTACGCTGCAGTATTTAACAACATTTAGCATTTAAGTTAAACAAAATAGAAGTTGAGAAAGTAATACAACAGCCCCTCGGTCAATCCACTGCTGGACGAGGGCTTCCCCACGCCGCGTGTCGGTCACGGGGAGTTGTTTGGTCATACTTCACATCTTACTGGTAGGAACCTCCTGGTTACACCAGCCCACAGGGGATTATTGTGTCCGTCCGTCGTGCATCCAAAATGGGTGGTGTGGGGCTGGGTGGGGCTGGTTGGGGGGTGGGGAGGGGCTGGGTGGGGCTGGTTGGGGGGTGGGGAGGGGCTGGGTGGGGGGGGGGGAGGGGCTGGGTGGAGAGGGTGGGGAGGCGCTGGGTGGGAAGGGGCTGGGTGGGGAGGGGCTGGGTGGGGAGGGGCTGGGTGGGGAGGGGCTGGGTGGGGTGGGGAGGGTGGAGTGGGGAGGGTGGAGTGGGGAGGGTGGAGTGGGGAGGGTGGAGTGGGGAGGGTGGAGTGGGGCTGGGTGGGGAGGGTGGGGAGGGGCTGGGTGGAGTGGGGAGGGTGGGGAGGGGCTGGGTGGGGAGGGTGGGGAGGGGCTGGGTGGAGTGGGGAGGGTGGGGAGGGGCTGGGTGGGGAGGGGCTGGGTGGAGTGGGGAGGGTGGAGAGGGGCTGGGTGGGGAGGGGCTGGGTGGAGAGGGTGGGGAGGGGCTGGGTGGGGAGGGTGGGGAGGGGCTGGGTGGAGTGGGCTGGGTGGAGAGGGTGTGGAGGGTGGGGAGGGGCTGGAGAGCAGACCTGTTCTTCACCTGAGGACGGCTGCTTGCGTTGTGGCCGAAACGTCGTGAGCATTTTATTATGTTTTATTTTTATTATTTTATTACTTCCCTTCTACGTGACTTTACCGAAAGAACCAAGAAAGATGAATCCCTGCAGTCACCAAAGCTTTAAATCATAGATGGCATGTTCATTGTGCAGCTGCACACAACCTTGAGTGATTTTTTTATTAACATTTATTTCGATAGGAAATGCATTTCTTGGCGAAAAGTATTCATGGCTCTTTCAGTGAATAGAGCTGACATGATGGTTTTTCCTTGTATTGATCACAGTCCATTGTATCTTGTATTGATCATTAACTTGTATCATTCATATTCTATTGTATATTAAGTTGGCCATAGGCTCTGGTGGCTTGCATACAGCAAGGTGTCTTGTGTCCAATGTTGACCAAAGTCTCCTGTAGTTTATCAATAACCTATTTTGTGTATTACATTAACCACAGGCCCTTGGGTCTTATGTAACCACTGTGTCTCGTGGCTTGAGTCGAGCACGGTATCTTGTGTCGTATTGATTCCAGTCCCTTGTGTCAGTCAAAAACATTCGCTTATGGCTTGTGTTAATCACAACGCCTTATTGTCTTGAGTTGGTCAAAATACCGTGCGTTGTTTTCTTATCACAGTTTCGTGTTATATTGATAACAGTTTCCTTCAGGCTTGTGTTAATTACAGTAACTCATTATTGTGTTAATCACAGTGCGTTGTCCGATCTCAAACTCAGTCCGTTGTTGTGTCAATCACAGTCCACTGTGTTGTGTACGATCCAGTCTGCTGTGGCTTGTGCGTCAGAGCATGGTGGTTTACGTCTCCTTTATCATAGTCCCACGCGTCTTGTATTGATCAGTCCCTTGCATCTTCTTTGTTTTTCACAAAAGCGAATGGACGAGGACGACGATGAACCAGATTCCTCCATGCTGAGCAGTCAGTGCGCGGAGCAGAACATCTCGCAGAAGCAACTTGAACAGAAAGTACGACACCCGGGCTACGCGCATGCCACTTGCCGGCTCGCTTGTTGTGCACATGGCAGCGATTGCAACACGAGCAGACTCATTCACGAGCTGCGACTTTGTGCATGTGTGCGGATCGCAGGTGAGCGAGGTGATACAGTACATCCTGACTGTCGACCAGAAGAAGATCCCTATAAAAAAATCAGGTGTGTGGCCATTGTGTGTGCGTGGCTGTGTGGGCCTACGCTGTGGAGAGCAGTGGCATAGTGGTTGGCGCGCCACGCTACGAAACCATCAACTTGAGATGGATTTCCACTCACAGCCAACATTGGTCATCAGTATCTGAACTGGTCGTGGGCCTTACCTAAGTCGACTCAACCTTTCACTTGTACCTGGTGCGGAGTGTTTAAAACATTACCTCTGTCATAATGAGGTGAGGTCATCACTGTCATGATTATCATAGTTTTTATTATCATCATCTTTGTCATTTCCACAACATAATTCTTTGTGGGGCAACCACCAGAAATTTGTCTGCAGATGTGTAGGCTATGAAGCAGCAACAAATTAAATTAAACAAATGTGGAGATACCGGTAAACTCTCCAATGACCAAATTATCCTGGAGATTATGCTTGGATGGGCAACCTCCTTTCGTAATTTGTGGCTATACTGTGAGCAGCAGAGAGGGCAGTTCAGTAAAATCAATTAGTGTGCTGTGCTTCTACGCTGCCCCACCTTCATAAACCCACACTGACCAACATGGTGAAGTATGGTCAAATAAACCCCCACGACCCACACGGCAGAGAGATGCCCTCATTCAGCAGTGAATTGACAAAAGAGTTTTGCACGTACATTATTCAACTGTGATTCACACAAGACACAAGAGACTGTTAAATACAAGATTCAGGCATCCATAGCGTGATGCGCACCCCCTAAAACATGAATTGGCAGTTACGCGATTCATATTTTAGGAACATTTCACAATCGCGTTATGCGTTTCACAGCTACGCACTCAATAAAAACAATAACATTGTGAAATTACATTTTTCTGAATAAAATAGGTTTCAATGATAACAATTGTAAGTAAAAGAAAACAGTTCTGATGGCGTCTCCGCGTGATGGCAGGGTCCAGTGTCACGGGCTGGGCGTAGCCATCTTGGATCTGCTACATTTGTTTGCATCATGCGTGCTGCATTCAAGAAGCCCTGAAGTTACTCCTATTTGTAACCTATTACATTTATACGTACTTTGTAAATCCAGGGCTAAAATAATGAAGTGAAATTGCTTAATTTTTATTCGATAACGCACCTCCACTTAAATTTCGATTGAAAGTTTTCGTGACTGCAGGGATTCATCTTCTTGGTTTCTTTGGGTAAAGTCACGTAGAAGGGAAATAATAAAAAGAAAACATAATAAAATAAAATATTTTATTATGTTTTATTTTTATTAAAATAAAATATTTGATAATGTTTTATTTTTATTATTTTATTATTTCCCTTCTACGTGACTTTACCGAAAGAACCAAGAAGAGGCACCCCCACTTATAAACACGTATGTCTGGGATAATAGGATTCATTCAGCGCGATGCAACTTACGCGCTGTTTTTCATCAACGCATGTCGCGCGTTCAGGCGAAGGATGCCTGCACTTTATCGATGCGACACAAGGGACCGTGGATTAACATTAGGGATAAGACACTGTGCATGCCGCAAGAGACTGTGAAGAACAAAAGCAGGAGAAGAGGGTAGACAATAAACAACGGCACGGCTTTGCTCGATACGTCAGCCAGTAGGCTTTTATTTAACCTTCATCTGTAGAGATGGTTTGGCTGCCCGTACTCGGGTCACACTTGCAAACGGGACCATCCTGGTCTCCCAGTGCTCGCCTGGTTAAAAAAAATGAAACTTGAAACCTGAGCTATGCTCGTGTTGTGCCGTTGGCTCCTGCTGCAGATATCAGCAAGAACGTGCTGAAGGACCACCGTTCTCTCATCAACACGGTGATGAAGATGGTGATCAAGAAGTTGAATGAGGTGTGTGTATGAGTGTGTGTGTACATGCACCCCTCAACTTCCCATTGGTCATGGGGCAGTTGGAGAGAGAATGGAAAGTTGTCTATACTTGGGCAAGGACGCTACTGGGCAGTTCTAGGCAGTCGCCCTGGAACAAACACGGAGAGCAGAGGAGTGACGCTCGCAACAATGAGCGGAGCGCCAAGCTGCTAAATTGCAGCAAGTTGGCACAGTAGAGGCTAGAGGTGGTGCATCTGCCAGTCATCTCAGTCAACCCATGGCACCTGGGTCTGTCCCGTGACGTCCTGTCAGTGAGCCTTTTGACACTTCACGTGGCCTCGGAGTGCACCTGGCCTGGCACAAGCGCCGTGGTGACATCACCGTAACTTAGTGGCAAATGGCAGTTGTTGATGTGCGTGCACATTGGGGAGTGATAGTATAGTGGTAAGTACACTGGTACGGATTCGGCAACCTTTGATTCCCGCTCAGATAATTATTTGATTATCTGAATCAGTCCTGGGCCTCTTCTAGGTCGACTCGGCCTTAAATGAGTACCTATTGCGGTGTGTAAATATCAGCACTGGGGAGACAAAGGTGGTGAGGTGTGGTGTTGGCCACCCCACCCCCTCATGTACAATGCCGGCCTTCATAGGTGCTCCTCGCTAACAGCACTTGTCCCAACATTCTGTTAAAGGCTAATTTATTTTCTATTTTTTTACGTGTGGTATCATCAGCAGTTTCTCCATGTGTGTTACGAAAGGTGTTTGTGTACATGACCATGTGTTTGTTTTTGTGTATACGTGTGCAGGTGTTCGGGATGGACTTGGTGGAGATTGACTCCAAGTTGCACTCTTTCATCCTCGTCAATAATATTCCCAATTCAGGAGAAGCCTTAGCTGACAGGTCCAGCCTGCACTGCACTGCACTCGACGACAGCACAGTGTATCTCACTAATTGTACTGCGTGCGTATATGAATGTTGAACGTCTTTCACACCGTACGTAGCCAACCGTGCTAATCGGAGGTGCGGGGGAAGGACGACACACTAAACACAGAAATTAGTTTGCGATTTAGAAAATGAGTTTTCAATTGAAATAATGCACTGCAGTGTGATTGACTCTCTACTACCTTCAGTGTATTGCTTCTCTCTGTTCATGAGATCCTCTCTTAGCTTCAGTGCATGTGGACATTCACCACACCACATTTCTTCGGGGAGAATATACACAAACGATAAGCAGACAATGTCTAATTCACATATCAATCTCGATATGAATTCAGCAGCATCATTTCAAGCACGGTTTTATATAATTTTGTGTCGAACTGAAACCCCCACTGTGTAAGCGGGGAAGGATCCTTGCCTGCAAGATCGGCAGTCCACCAGCATTGAATCTGTTGGAACTAGTCCAGTCTTTGCTTGTTTTGAAACAATTCTGATTAATTTGTGCACTTCTAGAAGTTTGTGGGTCTGTGGTTGATGAGTTGTATCAGAAATATTGTTTTAATTTAGAGAGATGGCAATGCGAAGTAATTATATTGTCTGGTTATATATTTTTTCATTACACTCTGTCACCGGGACTAATCTTGGCTATTCATATCAATACGCTATACTCCACTAAGCCACTACTCCACTAACGAAAACGCAGTTGGGACCTGTGGCATTCTTTTCTTTTCTTTGCATTATGAAGCTTTACTGGACCGAGTGCAATTCCCTTCACTCCGCCGTGTTGCACTTTATCCTGTAATGCATTCGGTACTCGCCAAATACCTTGTAATGCAGGATTCTTGAATTGGGTGGTCTACGGGCTAGACGTGACCCATAAAAGCCACACTACGATCCGCAGAGATAAGGAACAATTTATTTAGTGAGATGAGAAACAAGTGATAGATGGACATAAGATGTCATGAGACAAAGATAAAGATTGAGATTGAAGCATGATATAGAGGCTAGAGGCCTCAAGACAAGAGGTACACATCAGTGTTCGCATGCACAGATGTGACATCACAAGCCCTTAATATCTGTACACGTGCCACATGATGTCACGTGGTCCACCAGAACATGCCAACTTTAAGTGGACCATGGGAAAATATAGTCGAGGAACCTTGCTACAATGTGCCCAGCTCTCACGCGATATATCCTTGTCTCCAGTAAAGCTTACAAAGCATAACCCCTTTTGCACCGTTGAGATTGTCGTGAATGCCAAATATGTACCCATTGAATTGTAGTCATTTATTGGAATGCGCCCGGAACTCGCTGTGCCTGATCTCTCGTTCCCGCTTTCCCCCGGCAGTGCGAACGAGAAGCTGGGGCTGCTCATGCTCCTGCTCAGCATCATCTTCATGAAGGGCGGCGTCCTCAAGTGCGGTGCGCGACACACTGCATCGCCACTCAAAACACTCCAGAGGGGGGGGCTAACGACGGCCTCCTCGATTCGCCAATTTATGTCGAACTTTAAGCTTGCAGATACGCGCATCAAATCGTAGGTGTGCGAGATTGCGTTGTTCGATCCATCTGTGTTTCGTGTAATGGGTTGACATGACTCCCCCTCCCAACCAGCAGAAGTTGCCACATTGGCTTTATCGAGACCAAAACATTCACCAATTGAGTTATCTTATATTTTTGTGCTCTAAGATGAGTAGGCACTTCCAAGGTATCCGCTAGTGTTTTCAGCAGTTAAAATCAGGTTTGCCTTGAAAACTAGACTTATGGGCTAAATTGGATTTTAATAATCATTTACGGCCCTTAATCCACAAATGGATGATGGTCGGCCCACGCTTTGTCAATCATGGACTTTCTTTTACCATACTTCACCATGCTGGCCAGGACAGGATGGTGAAGGGCGGGGTGCCAGGATCTGTTCGTAGCTCCATGCGTGATCCACTGCACCCCTGCCGCACCCACCCCCAGACTCTGACCAAGTTATAAATAAGGATACCCTCTGTATCTCATGAATATTTCCACTACAAGTTGAAATATATTTAGTGGAACTACACCACTGTGAAAATAATATCAGTAATTACTAAATTTAATGCACGGCAATGTTTTTTTTTTGTTACAGCAAAGCTGTGGTACGTGCTAAAGAAGTTTGGAATCGATCAGAGGTATGTTGTCCTTCATTTTACAGTCCACACGCTGTTAGTGTTGTGCACTTAAGAGTATTTGGCTGCTATAAATTTCCACTTAACCCACCTCGTTGAGCTATCATTTGTGGCCAGGTCACTTTTGAAAAAGAGCTATATAGCTGAGTGGGCCTTACCTGGTAAAAAATAGTTTATTGTTCATCCGGTGAATACAGCCCTAGGCCATGTGTTCTGGGTTGTCTCACATCAGTGAGAATCTCCGTTCATGACAAAACAAGGCACCCAGGCAAGACGGCTTGGGATATTGTCCCACTAATCCCAGAAAATTTCATGCGTTGCTTTAGTTTGGCTGTTGGAGCATTTGTCATTGGCACTGAATGGTAAGAATCCTTATTTTGAACTGGTGTGACGGCAACTTGCTGCGACCCACAGTACCTTAAGTAAGTTGCTTGTGAAGGCATCCTGTTTCTTAAATGTATAATTATTAGAAGTAATACAAATTAAATTCTTCTGTTGCGAAACTCCCTTCCCGTGGGTGTCGAGGTGCAATACTTTCCAGGAGCATTTGGTACAGCAAACTGCAGCATAATCTCCATCTGTCCCGTCTGTGTGGGAAATACTGTTACTCGTACGTGGGGGCTTCTCCCGGTGCCCCGGTTTCCTCCCGCTTGTATAAACACTCATGAATGAGCTGTAAACGTCTTAATATATCCACTCCTTTTTGCAGATTGTGCAGGGATGTGAAATGCAGTTTCCATTAATTACTAAGAAAGCAAAAAAACACACCGATTACTATTATTCCTAACTTGGAACCTCATTTGCCAGTAAAAAATATGATAATTGGTTTTTTACCCTTCTATCTGGCAACAAAACTGACACCTTTTTTTTTGGCGTCATCTGGTCCAACCCATGTGAGACTAGGCTCTAAGGAAAGCTGTCTTGGGTGTGGACCAATCAACTTCAAGGACAGTGCATACATTATCAGAGTTATGTTTTTTGTTTGCATTATGACTGCAGGTATTGTGGTCTATGCAAACATGACTCCTTGTAAAAAAAAAAGGTGTCAGTTTTGTTGCCAGATAAAAGGGTAAAAAACCAGTTATCATATTCCTAACTTGTTTGATTTGCGGTGATTCCCAGCCATCGGTCGCACATGAGTAACCCTGCTTGGCGCTAGCCGCTCCCAAGACAGCGCAGCCGAGGTGCGCATAGCCCTGGGCGTTGGGGCGGGGAGGGACACGCTCACCGTCTGTGACCTCTGTTCCTCCACGTCCACCCCACAGCACGCACCACATCGTGTTCGGAGACGTCAAGAAGCTCATCATGGAGGAGTTTGTGCGGCAAAAGTGAGTGAGGTCGCTTCTATAGTCGGGCACGAGTCTTAACGGGATTTGCTGCTCAATTGAGCATTGAGACGGTGTTCATCTCCTGCGTGCAGCCCTGAGCCAGTGGTGGACATTTCACATTCCTATGGAATCCGATGAGCTATAAAGCTTTTTCTCACAGATATCCAGTCCTCTGGACATATGGAATCTCTCCATACGACAGCCGCTGTTGACTTCCTCACAAAGTGGTATTTATGTATTGACCCTGGCGGGATGATGGGCTAAGGCAACCCCCTCCCCCCATCATCGCCAGCAGCTTGGATCCTTCCGAGTGTGAGCAGCTTGCGCTGCTTCTGAGCCACCTGGCCGTGTACAGCCCTTTGTCACTCCGCTGCTGGATGGGGGCCTTCTCGCGCTGTACGGGTTTTCTATTTTGGACCATACTTCACCATGCCGGTCAGCACGGTTTGCTGAAGGCGAGAACAATAGGCGTTGGCAAGTCCAAAACTCATCCCAGTTATCTACACGATGAGGACTGTCCAATGTTTGCGTCGCATCTGTAAATAACGAGCGCGCGAATAATACATTTGCGTGATCGGTGTAATCAGTGCGGATGCCCCGAGCCTTGGGCCTTCGTTTAAACTGCACCGTAGAGTAAACCATGAAGGGGGCCAGCCGTGATGACGGGGGGGGGGGGGTGGGTGAGGAATCCTCCCCCATCGCACCGCCTCGCGGTCCCATCCACTGGCTCCTTCAAACACAGCATGACCTCAGCATGACCTCAGCATGGCAAAGCGTGGCATTGTGGACACCCACGTTCCTTTGGCTGACTACAATTGAGCACTCGCCTCAGTCTAATCCAACAGTAATGCGAAATGTAATTAGTGCTCGCTGTTACTGAGCGTGCTAAATGAGAAGCACACCATGGTTAGGTCAAAAATATTGCCCTCGAGTATCCAATTAGTATGGCTTAGGTGCTCGTAGTGACGGATAAATGTTGTTAGCAGCACGTTTCAAAGTGTGGTAGGCCTCATCTGGCTGCAGGCCAGATGAAATGAAGCCGTGGGCCGTGTAGAATGGAAATTGCGGGCTGGGTACAGGCTGCGTGCCTTAGCTTCCCCACCCATGGCGTACACACTGGTGTTGGTGATATACGGAATGTACGCCGTGCGTGGTATTCGACTCGCACTAAGCACTCTGCCTCAATGTTCAGGGCGCTCAGCGGCTGGGCAACACGCAGCGTTGTTGAGCAACAGTTTGTTCTCGGAAAGTTTAAAATAATTGTGTTATCTCTGAAACAGCAATGGGTGGGGTATTTTGGTACTCCTCTTCTTGGTTCTTTCGGTAAAGTCACGTAGAAGGGAAGTAATAAAATAATAAAAATGAAACATAATAAAACAATTTTCACCTGAGGACGGCTGCTTGCGTTGTGGCCGAAACGTGGTGAGAATTGTTTTATTATGTTTTATTTTTATTATTTTATTACTTCCCTTCTACGTGACTTTACCGAAAGAACCAAGAAGATGAATCCCTGCAGTCACGAAAGCTTTAAATCGAAATTTATATTTTGGTACTGTCACCAAAAGGAAGGAGAGATGTCGATGTTTTATGAAGACATCTCAGAAGTGAAATTCAACAAAATGTCAATCCCCTTGGCTGTCCCAGCGTAGGGAGACGTTTATCCAGCATTGAATCAACACGCGGCTGTTAAGAGCCCATTGAGGCCACAAGTTGATCTTTGAAAGGATACCAGATTTTAGTACCTCCCGGGTAGGTGAGGTAAAGGAGCAGCCCTGAAATGTCATGCTCGCGTCACTGCTGGTGGAGGGGTCTCCACGAGAGGAAGCTCTAGTATTTTTGCCAACTCGTTCAAGCTGGCCAGACATCATTTTAAAGAGGTGGGAGGACCCACACTTTACCCCATCGTATGCGACCTTGCCAATAGACTAACTGTAATGTACCCATTTTATTTGATACTGCTGGTTGGACAGGGGTGGAGGGATGGATTTAATAAACTTGTCCCACTGTTATAACTGCCACACCGGGGAGATCGAATGGAACCGCCGGCAACCTCTAGATTGCAATTCTATCGCATGCTCACCATTACACCACGGCAGCATCTATAGAGCACGACATTAAATAAATTGTGATTAAAGAGCGTGTGTGTGTGCGTCCCGCGAGTAGTAGTGTTGGGGTTATCGCGCTACAAAACCGGCAACCCGAGTTCGATTCCCGCTCACGGTCAATATCAGTGACGATTATCTGAACCGGTCCTGGGCCTCCCCTAGGTTGACTCACCCTCAAACGAGTCCCTGGTGCGGTGTGTAAACATCGCCACTGGGGAGGCGAAGGTGGTGCTGGCCAGTCACTCCCTCGTGTGCCATGCCGGCCTTCAAAGATGCTCGCGAACAGTACTTGCCCCAACAGTCTGTTAAGGCTATACGGGGGGGAGGGGTCTTTGTCTTTGTACCCACATGTGTCATGCAATTCCAGGTACCTTAAGTGCTCGCGTGTTCTGCACACGGACGTCCCGGAGTTTGAGTTCCGCTGGGGCGCCCGCGCCGAGTGCGAGGTGACCAAGATGAAGGTGCTCGAGTTCACGGCCAAGGTGCGCACGATCGCCGCTTCTACCGCGCGGAGCTACGAGCCTATTTACCGGGGCTGCGTCTAAACTCGTCAGATATTAATAATAATACCGTTTATAACGCGCGCAATGTTGCGGACCAAAGACGCAATTCCGAGGTGCGGAACCGAGCTCCGTGTCGAGATCGCCTCGCGCAGTGCAGTGAGCAGACTCGGTTAAATGTCGAGCTGAAGAGATGTGCCTCGAGATGGTTTTGGAACGAAGAAAATGAATGATCGTTAAGGATGTGAATAGAAATGGTGTTGCAAAAGACGGAGGCTGCAATGGAGAAATGACGAGAAGCGAATTACGGTCCTTGTCCTGGGAGTTTCCAGGAGGTTCTGCGTCGTACTCAAAAATTGTAAATGTTGTGGATTCACTCTTCAACACACCGGTGGGCTAAAGTAGTGAACTATTTGTCTTTTGTCAACGTGACACTTTTTTGCTGATTGGCCGTGTCGGGTGGTGGAGGGTTATGGAACATTTATTAATAACGCGATCTAACCCAAAAGCGTTGATTATGAATAATATTGGTCGCGAAAGCCTAATACGTGTTAAACTACGAAGATGCCTACGACCCGTAGAAGTGTAAAGCGTCAGCAGAGGACTTTGGCACGGTGGGTAGCCGGAATTGGGGCGCGGTCACAGGCAAGCGGTCTCGAACGTAATTCTGGTCGAAGGATGAACAGGGAGTCAGGGCGCGAGGGTCGCAGGGGCCGTAGGCAACTCGGGCAATGTGAGTTTGGAGGCGTCGCAGCTTATTTTGGTTGCTCAAAGTGGACCGCACGAGGACTGAGTTGCAGTAATCGAGCTACGACCCAACAGTGCTGCAGGCGAGAGTATTTGCGATGTTGGAGGTGATGAGCGGACGTAGATATGGTGGAGGGCCCTGGGATGATAGTTGCAGGACTCGAGAACACGGTTGATATGAATGTTAAGGAGAGAGTGGGATCCAGGGTGACGTCGAGAAATGTCAGATGGTCGGAAAATTGAATGAAGGGACCAGCGATTGAGATTCCCGCGGGGAGAGTGAAGCCAGTCTTTGCCTAGTGCCAATTAAGATGGCCTCGGATTTAGTTGGGTTTAGTGAGAGGTCATGATATCGAAACCAGTGCTGTAATGCAGTCGAGCGGAAGGACGGTCCATGCCCAGTATGTTTGGAGATTTAATGGAGGCGATGAGAAGAGTGATGTCGGCGTAGGAGTAGAAGTGGATGCCGAAGCTGTCAATCAGTTGGCCAATGAGAGATGAAGAGGCGGAAAACAGCGGGGGACTCGAGACTAAGCCCTGAGATACTCCGCATGTCAACGGCATTTTGTTAGATGAAGTCGCTCCCAATTTTGACGGTGAAACACCTGCCGGAGAGAAATGAGGAAATCCAGTTTAGTGCAGTCCCGCTGATCCCGAAGTTGAACTGGAGGTGATTGATTAGGCGTTTGTGGTTCAGTGTTGAAGGCTGAGGACTTGTCAAGGCTGACGAGTAAAGCAATAGAACCGGAATCGATGTCAAGGATGTCGTCCAGGATCTTAGAGTGGTCTATGTTGAATAATATTTGCGATAAACCGATTGAAAGGGACAGAAATTCGGTGAGGATATGAGCTGAGGCTTGAGTTGGGCGAGGGCCAGACGCTCGACAAGTTTGGAGGTGGTAGTGAGGTTTGTGATCGGATGATAATTAATTAGACGGGTCAGCAGCGTCCAAGCCAGGTTTTTTTTTGAGCAGTGGGGAAACCTGGCCGACCTTTAAGGTAGGAGGAAAACAGCCGGTGGAAAATGAGGTATTAGCAATGTCGGTAAGAATGGTTGCAAGTTCCACGGCGCAGTGGTCAAACAGATGGCCAGGGACAATATACAGAGGAGATGTCTTGATGTGAAGTGAACGGATTAGGGCCAATACATCATTTGAATAAACTGGTGTGAATGAGGACAAGAAGAGAGTTGGGTGGATGGAGGGCAGGGTGATGACGTATGAATGGTGAGCGATGACCGCAACAGTGGTGAACTTGTTAGTGAAGGTTTAGTGTGATGGCAGCTGGTCATTGTTGGAAAAAGATTCTCCTGGGTGGAGCAGAGCCTTAAGGACGTGTCCGAGGGTTGCGAGAGGCGGTTTGGATACGGCAGGAGATGTTCGCAGAGTGTGAGGTGAGAATTAGTGCGTTTAGCTGGCAGCGCACGTGCTGCACCCAGGCAGCAGAGTGATCATCGGCCAGCAGCTCCGTGCAGCCGATAAAATTAAGCAATGAACAGAATAAGATGAGAATAAAATTAGGGGTATATAGAAGAGAGGAAGATAATGGGGGGACTGAATAACTGAGCTCAATGGGAAGGAGACGTAATGCTGGAGAAGTCGGATGGCAGCCAGCTCGTGCACCGTCATCTTCAGAAGCTAAGGCTGCTCAGAAGAAGAATGAATGAATTTGCATTCATATTGTGCTCTCTCTAGAACGGAACTAAGCGCCTGAGCACAGATATCCCCCTATTGGCAGTTGTCCCTGTGTGGCACAAGGTGACTCTAACTGGCTCGGCGATGGGCATTTTGTCACGTCAGTTGGGGCCGCCAGGTCATGGGGAGTGACGTGTTCGCCGCTTGTTGCAGAGGTTCAGGGTTCAGCGGCCACCCTGGTTAATACTACGGGTGTAATAAGCATGATAGTACTACCATGTGCTGTCTGCAATGGACGGTAAAGATCCCCCTGACATAATTCGCAAGAGAAGGCTATTTTGTGTGAGGGGGGGCAAATCAGGCAAATTAAATGACACCGCAAATTGCTCAATCGGGATTATACATTCACAATTATCGCCTTTTGCTGGCAAGCTGATGTCCCATATCACGATTTCAAGTGAGACTCATCCAAGGCTCTCGAGTTCTCTCACCTGGTTAAACGAAATCATTTGAAACGATTCCTTAAAGAGTGCTGTTTTTTAAATTGATAATTTGACCCAAGATTCACATTGTTGGTTGAGTAACATGGAATGCCTTTGCGTGTGCAAATATTTTTGCGAGTCACCAACCCGGACAGACCCAGCTGAAATAATTCCCTGTGGTTATCTCCCACCTTTTTTGCTGCACCCCCCCCGCCCCCGTCCCACACAGATGTACCGCAACGCGCCCACGGACTGGGCCTCGCAGTACAAAGAGGCGGTCGAGGCGCAGAGCTGAGCGCAGGAAACTCAGCTAGGAGTGTGTGGCGGTCACACACTCGTGGTCACGATTCCACACTCGTGCGGGCTGTGGAGGTCGTACCAGGTGTGTGCGAGGGTGTGTCATGGTCCACGCTCGACAATTTACTACTCGCATTCGAATACAAACGAGCTCGATCCATGCTGCACGCGCCTGCGCGATTGTTAAACGCATCCCAAGTGGCGCGTTAAGCCATCAACGCTGTCTACGTCATGTTGAACATGTGTACACACGCACACACCGAGATCTTAATTTGAATGGGGGGGGGCAAGGAGGAATTTTGTGGAATCCTTGGTTCCTCCTTGCACCTCTTCAGTGGTTCTCTTTGAGAGGGAGCGAACACCACGTGGCTGCACTTTACAAGCTGAAGTTATCATTATAATTGCAGACAAAATATATTGGCTGAACTTTCATTTTGACAGGGCATAAAAATGGCACGACTGTGCGATGCCGTAAAAACACTTGCAAATAGTTGAAATATGAACTGATTTCCATGTAGCCATTCCGTGTAAATATCCGTGACGAACTTTTTTACATTTAACGCATTTTCTGTGAGCGAATGGGGCAGCGTTGCAGCGTTTTTTATTCTTTGTGAGCACGTCCGACCCGCGCTCGACCTTATTCACACGTGGAGAATATCTAATAAACGTTACTTTTCGTCACAAGTGCCGGCTTTCCTCGTCCCAGTGTTTGTCGCGTCGCTACACTCATTCTCAGAAGCGAGCTTCACACTCGGGGCGCTCTGAAAGGCGGTGTCCAAACACAGGCCGACCCTGCCCCCCTGCCCCCGCCCGAAGTTGGCCAGATGACCGTCTCTCACGTGCCACTTTCACCAGAGCGCCGCGGAAGGCCGAAGTCTCAAAGGTATGCAAATGCGGCATAGACAGACGGACGGACATATTGGGTGGACCTGAGAAAGGATGCAGTGGATGGACGAATGGACCAACAGAAGGATGGACGGACAGATGGGCCGACGGACACACTGGTGGATGGATGGAATGGACGAACAGAGACAGACAAATGGAGGGGTGTCACCCCCCCCCCCCCCCATTATTCAGCACTGCAGGGCAAGGATTATGTATAGAATTGTGAAACTCCTACTGATTACACCGGGCTACACGATGGATGCCAGGAGATGGCAGTATAGCAAGTGAGTTTATACTGGTAGGAACCTCCTGGTTACACCAGCCCACAGGGGATTATTGTGTCCGTCCATCCTGCATCCAAAAATGAGGGGAGGATGGGGAGGGGCTGGGTGGGGAGGGTGGAGAGAGGCTGAGTGGGGAGGTGGGGTGGGGAGGGGTGGGGCTGGGTGGGTGGGGAGGGGTGGGGCTGGGTGGGGAGGGGTGGGGCTGGGTGGGGAGGGGTGGGGCTGGGTGGGGAGGGGCTGGTCACCCCGTGGTGCCCTTATAAAACTCAACGTTTAACCTACTCACGCCGGCTTGTGCCCGCCCTCCCAGTAGGCCATATTTGCGGAATACACCACGCCGCCGCTGACCCTGGCCATTGACCGAGCAATTCAACGTTCCTACCAGCTCCCTCCGCAGGAATGTGTTTGAACACAGCTGTGCAGACCTTTTCAGTGTCGTTCCGGATCTGCCGTCTGTGTGGTGGTTTTTCTCTGGGGTTCTCCAGTTTTCCCCCCACATGAAGTAATTTTCTGACCCGCCCCTTACTGGAAATCTGTGAATGAGCTCCGAAGCTCACCAGATTTCCTCCAGTCTTAAAAGATTCTGATTTTGAAATGATCAAGTAAAACGTTCCGTATTTGTAAAGGAATTGGCCAAAGATTAAAATACAGTGGCGTACTCTTGAACAAGTCTTGAGCCTCGTCAAGGCTTCCTGAACGACATTTGACACAACGCAGAGAGACGCTCTCAGGGCTGGTTTGCCCCTCCCAATATTTTATTTTGTTATCGTCACAGTCTAAACATCCGCAAATGTTGTAATGCTGTCTTTGGAAGATACAACAGATTGTTATATTTTTTTTTACATCAGTTGAACACATTCCGCCTTCATTACTGTACAGGTTTTTAAAATCAAACACTTTTCTCGCCGTTTTAAAACACTTTCCGTGGAAAAATCTCAACTTTAGCAAAAAAGCAGGGTCTCCCTCCTTGTCGTCACCACCATTCACCAGAGCACTTCCCCCCTCCCCCCCCTACAGAACGTCATCGTCTGTGTTTGTGTAAAACGTAAAATGGCCTGAGGTCTAATTGCTGTCTTGCCATTGCAGCTGATAGTGGATTGATGTCCGTGACGGGTACAGTCGCGATTAAATGCCCCCTTTAAAAAGGTGAACACCAACAAACATCTGGCAAAATGCTGCACCGTGTAGTCACAGGCCCGACCGCATAGTCTCCATACATTCAGCCAAAGTGACCCGGACTTTTTCAATACAGCAATCGTCGAGTGCGAGTGACCAACTCGAAATCCAACTTGATGCGCTGACAATTATAAATTTGCAATTAAAAGACAAATTGGCTAAACTTTGGCCAAGCCGCATTTGTGAACTTTTTGCCACAATTCGCGGTACAAAGTTGATCATTTTATTCGTTTATTCGCGTGACTTCTCCCACCAGCTCTGCCCGAGCCAATTGGCAAAGGACGTGCGTGTTGGTTGGATGGCAGTCACGCACCAAAGCACCTGAGTTTGTGCAACGAAAATTACCCGACATACAAAGTTAATGAACAGCAAAAATCCGAGCGCGTGTCGGTTGGCAATGGAAAACGAGGAACCCGAGTCGCACCCAGAGGGCAAGTGGAAGTTTGCGTGACCGTCGGTCACATTAATTCACGATTCAAAGCAAAGACCGGACAGCATTGTCTCCCCATATCAACTGCACACCTCGGGGCGGGGGAACCTATGCCCCTCCCTCCCCCCGTGAGCCAGACATGACTCGGAGCGTCATTTCACACGGCCCGCAGCCACGTGAGGTCGGCCCACCTTCACAACGACACCCACTTCACAGCGTTACGCTAATGGCATTCATCCGTTCCTGCGAGCATTCCAGCGGCGCTAATCGGGTGCTAGAGGGGGATATTTTCATACTGGAAACACTGCAGCTTTTCTAATTTTAGTGGCACTCAGGTCACAGTTGTCTTTCAAGTAGCTCTGAGCCTACGCAGTCAATGCATGTGGCGCAACCATGAGCAGAGTTTAGTGGTTATCTTAAGTGTGGTTGGCCGCCAAAGGATTACTAAACTTTTCCTCTCCCCCCCAGAACAGAATAGGTAAATACAGAAAACGATGGCAATACATTCCAGAGATGAGACCCCTCCCGTATTAATCCACAGATTCGACTGCTCCCATTTCGATCCAGCTGCCTTGTCCCATCTTCCGAACTGAGCGACGCAGAAGTCAGCAACTTTAAATCTCTGCGCGAGTGGTTTTTGTTCGTTTTCAGTTTTCAAACAGCTGCCGGCGGCACAATTCTCGCTCCACCACCATTCCATTCCTCGCCGGTCTGCTTCCCCACCGTACGTTCGACAAGGTCCGTCCCTGCTGGTGCTGCGCAAAGCCTTGTTTTCTGCGTTCGTTTCGTTTGTTCGTCCATCCGTTTGATAGTTTGGCAGGGTGGTGGGCATCTTGTTATATTTTTAAAGTGACCGACGGCAAGAGCGGAGCGTAGGCCACTTGGTTAACTCGTGCGCCGCTCTTCCCCCTCCTCCACCTTCCCCGGCGTTCTCCATTTGGCAAGCGTCGCCGTTGCGGCGTGACGATGTTCCGCAGGCCCGATTGCGGAGTGTTGAAAATAAAACACGAAATTTACAACGGGCACAAGGCATGTAACGATTCAACCTCCTGTGGCGATTCATCAAATTGTTTTAATTTGAGGGTCCACGGTTCGATTCTTTTGTCCGATACGCACCGCCGGGCATTGTGCGTTCCGTGCGTTCTCAGTATCCTTCGTTCCGTTAGCCCAACGGAAACATTTGCATACAAGATGAAGGGTGCAGCTCTGACATCACTCCCCCCCCGACGAGAAGAAACTCTCAGCCCATGTCTAGAGGGTGCTTGGTTTATCCTTCAACGGAGGCCGCAGAAATTGGGAAGTGGTGGGCGTTACCCACACTCAACCCCACCATGTTGTGACCTGACAGTCGAGCGACTGTGATGTACCCATATACTGCTGGGTAGAAGACCAAGGCGGTGGGGGTGAGGGGTGCAATTTTAGAAACTTCGCCAATGTTTACATGGATCGAATAGAACCATTGCACCACCGCAGGAGCAATCACCATCATCACCACCATCATTCCCGCAGATGAAATGATGAACACGGCCCAGTTATTTCACGCGTGTAGTGTTGCGAGCGTAACAATCGATCAAAATCGAGGAATCGTCACATGCCCATTAAATACTGAGCTGGGATTTGTTTTTTTTACCAGACATGCCGCCCCCCCCCTCCCTTTAACAACGGGAGTGGGGACCCCCCCCCCCTCCCTCTTAGTGTAGTTTCACGAGCGTGCGTGCATTCTTAAAAAAAAAATCATACGAGTACAAAGGTTAAAAGTGTCACCTGCAATTCCTGTGACAACCATAAAAGTTGAAACGCGTGCATAAAACGGAACCGGCTAAGAATCCACGGCACCCATATTGCATTGCGATGCACTAATAACGTTCGTTTCTCAACGCCAATCCTCACTACCCCCCCCCCAACTCCCAACGTTATGGCTTTCCACGATTACCAACCATCATATATGTGCACTGTCTACAGAGGCTTTAATTTCCATACGGATAAAGAGCCTGATTGGTACTAATCACAAAAAAATGCACAGCATGAAGAGGGGCCACGATGATGGGCGTTGTGATACGCCGTTCTGTAATAATAATACCCGCCAGTTAAAAACAATGGTAATAAAATCCCTGCGGCATTGTTACAGTGGCGTTGCATCCCGTGGGTGCAAATCTCGCTCCGATTTTCCACGGCCCTTGGCACCAACCGCTGGTTGCCCGGCACCGGACACCGCGAATTTTGCCCAACACCCGCTCGCGTCGAGTGTTACCGATTGCATTGCCGGTGCAACCGCCGCGTTTGAAACCGTTACCACAAGCCACGGGACAGCATCTACAGTAAAAAAAAAAAACACAAAATCAAAAAAACCCGAGAGTGATCTTGGCCTCGGCATAATACCCACCCACCCTTCGTCCCGCACAGAGAAACATCGCAGCCATAGCCGCCTTTCTCAAAGCTGCCACTTCGGCCGTTCAAGTCCAGTGGCGACGTGCGAGTCCAGTTTTGAGGAGGCCACAATTTCCAGCTCGCGTTTTCCAGTCTCGGACGATGCGTGCAGCCAAAGACTGGATCACGAAGCGGCGTGCGATTATGACGAGGACGATGATGATGTTCCTGTGCTGGGTTCCAACGAGACCAGTACTGGGAAACTGGATTTGTCCATCTGGTAGAAAGAGCGATGATGATGATAATAATGCAATCGGTGCTCCTGGGAAGCTGCTGGGGAGAGCCCTGATGATAACGCCACTGCCAACGCATTCCAGTTTTTAAACGAATCCACGCATTTATCGATCACCCGAGACTGGAAAACCCGGGGCAGACTTTGTGGCCAGGAGTGACCACTGGGTCCCGGTCATTCCGAGATGCCCTCTCTATATCATCTACATCCTCCAGGTCACACAGCCACATGACCTGTGGCTTGGCAGCAGCAGACAACCTGTACCCTCCGTAGCCCATCACATCCTCAAGAGAGGTAAGCGAGTGGGTTTGGAGGGTAAGCGGGCGGGAGGACAAGCGGGCGGGCGGGCAAGCGGGCAGGCAAGCGAGCGAGTCACTTGTGTAGAGGTACCGTCCGCAGGGCATCCTCCCTGGAGCGGGTCACGTCCACATTCTGCGCGCACCCACGGGAACCAGCGGGGTGAGGGGGGGGCGAGGGTTTAGCGGTAAATGGTGAGGTCAGAGGCAAGGTCGGTGCTGGGTGACGACAACTAGAAGCCGGTTGCAGGATCCGTCGCATCGGCCACGAGACCCAGGTCTCACCCCAGCCAGCAGTAGATTGCACAGAATTAAGTAAACTTGTACGTTTAAGACGACGAAATACAATTACCGATACAGTTTGCGTTTATACACGGTTAAACCGTCAATAAAACTATAATACCGACTGGCTGTGTGGCAGTCGATACGCAAGTGCTGCCACAAGTGCCACTCAGCCGTGCCGCTGAAGAAGATTAGAATTGTCAAGTGCCGTTCAAAATCTAGAATAAAGCCCTTCGTGCGCGTCAAGTCTCACATTATGGATTCGCGGTTTTTCACAGTTTTCAGTGTCTCACGGCCGTATAGTGGATTCTCACAATTTGTATTGATTACCTGTTGTAAATTAACACACAACGCCCTATTTATTGCAGTGCCTCACCAGCAACAGCTGCTGCAAGTAGTTTCAGGTCTTATGGAAGGTTTAGCTCCAAAACTGTTGTCTTTACTCACAGCCTTTCTATGAGAATCAAGCTGGAAACTAACCACTATCCAAGGTTGTTATTTCATTTACTACGGGGGTGTTCACTAAATAGTGGACATTAACCTGTTGCTCCTACGCAATTGTGTCTGTGCCTCAGTTTCTTAGGGTCCCCTCTGAGTTTCTTGGGTTTTCCCCCCAATATTTTGTCACTGGACATTTCACCGATTGAACCCCTTTGGGGGAGTTGACATGCGCGGGTCTTATCTGCACCGCGAGATTTTTTTGTTCGCGAGCGCCCACGCATCTGCAGCTCGCCGCGCGTTCTGCGCGCTGCTCGATTCAGGCACAAGCGGTTTTTCGACATCCTGCTTTGCTCGAACCCCACAAAAAAATTACAAATCGACCGAGAGGGTTGGGAGACGAACATTCATCACGAGCGCTGCCCACCGCCGAGGCGGGAAAAGGCACGTCGGTCGCAGAGCCTGACTCGGTGAGCCGCGATCGAATCAACTCCGCCAATCTACTGCTCCACCTAATAAACTCAACACGTTGGTCGATAACACTGCCCCTGCCTGCAGAGGCGTAGATCTATACTGGACAACACGTCCGGCAATGGCTCGTCGTCACAGCAGACAATGGTCACTGCCACAAACGTCACCTGTTACAAGGCCAGAGTGCTAGCTGTAGCGAGCCTACTGCCAGAGCTAGAATGTGTTATTCAGTAGTTACCGCAGCCCTTTCACGTAAAACCGAGTGTCTGCCCCACTCCGTGGGCATATGACCCTTCCTCTTGCCCAGCACATGGAGAAAAGACGGCAGAGCTGTACTTCAAAATCAAGTCGCAGTGGTTTCCTGCTCACATGAGCAGAGGCCATGGTGGTGGTCATCTCCTGTTTACGGCCACTAGCCAGTTTGTAGGAAATTGCTATGGTGAGGGCGAGTATATACTTAGGTCAACCACTGGTTGAGCTCCCCACAAAATCGTATTCATGCGATTCATCCCATGGGAGAGGATCTGGCATTTCGAGGATTGGGCCTGATTAGCCATCAACGGGAAGTGCCCCCAAACACACCGGCCAACGAAGATGGAGCATTTATAGGACCCAGTCGTCATCTGAATAATATGGACAGCGACAGGGGATGACGGGTCAAGTCAACCCCCACCCCAACCAGGATTTGAACTTGGAAATCTTTCCATAGTGTGAGCCGCTCACTCTACCGCCAGGGCCATCTATCTGGGCAGTGGTGTCGGGCGAACGCGTTGAGTTTTGCTATTTGCTGTCAATGCGGAATCGGATGTAGTTTGTTGTTGTTTTGCAATCGATCGCAAGGAGCCGCGCACGTCGAGGGTGAAGATGTTCAAGCGACGACGGGACTCGTGCAGAATGTGACGCACGCTCCACACAGTGCGGTGCGCACGCACGGCACAAACCACCAACTGAACTTTGCAAAACAATAAAATAACGGAGGAATAAAAAAAAATTGAGGGCGGCAGGGCTGGAAGGCGTCGCACGCGGCGGGTGGGACGGGGCGAGGCCTCGTGAAAGGCAGCAGGGTGGTGAGGAGAGGAGGCTGGTTGAACGGAGAGGTGAGGAGGTGGAGGAGGAAGAGGAGGAGGATGAGCGGGGGATGTTAATCGTGGTTGGGGACAGTGCTCAGCGCTTGCGCGGCGCCTCGAGAAACGCATGTGTCCTGCGACACCAGAAACACAAACGACACAGGGAGTGGAGGGGTAACACGAGGTCAACAGGGAGGCGAGGGAGGGAGGGGGGCACTTTTGTTCGTGTGGACGAGGCAAACGCGAACATAGTTATACATCCTTCTCTGTGCCAACAATGCGGAGGGTTCAAAATTGTCCAATTGCACGTGAGCGCAGCTGGCAAACCAATCAAAAGTCCTGCTTCACGCTTTCGGTGCAAATTACTTTGGCTAAGAATACTTGCACGCGATTGTCTGTGCCACCAATCCGTGTGGTATGGTGAGCGGCGAGCGAGTGAGCGGTGAGCAGTACTCACCTCTGGCCGGTCTCTGTGCGTGTTCACTGCCTCCACCTTGAGGTTTATTTGCTCCATCTTGCAGCCTGAACCGCCGAGAGGGCGACAGCAGAAATGCCATCACCACCTCGTCAGTGTGTTGCCAAGCAATGCGCGAAACGCTAATGACCTAACGTCTCGTTTCATCCGCGGCTGTATTGATTCGTGGGTAACTTAATTTGTATCGTCTCGTTTGACCACCTCATCTGACAAGATAACGGGAATTCAGTGGGAGGTCGTTCATTCAATCTTCCTTTGTTGCTCCCACTATCTAGAACTCCCCCCCCCCCCCACCACAGCCACCTCTGCTGCCGGCTGCCTACTTCTGTTCAAGTCCAGGCCTCAAGACCTAACTCTTCTCCTCTGCGTATGGCTGACTGCCTTTTTCTCTCAGATTCACACACACACAGACCCACAGACTCACATAGAAACTTGTGGCTGACTGCCTTTCTCTCCCATAGACTCACACACACACACAGACTCGCATAGAAACTTGTGGCTGACTGCCTTTCTCTCTCATAGACTCACACACACACACAGACTCACATAGAAACTTGTGGCTGACTGCCTTTCTCTCCCATAGACTCACACACACACAGACACACAGACTCGCATAGAAACTTGTGGCCGACTGCCTTTCTCTCTCATAGACTCGCACACACACACAGACCCACAGACTCACATAAAAACTTGTGGCTGACTGCCGTTCTCTCCCATAGACTCACACACACACACAGACCCACAGACTCGCATAGAAACTTGTGGCTGACTGCCGTTCACTCCCATAGACTCACACACACACAGACCCACAGACTCACATAGAAACTTGTGGCTGACTGCCTTTCTCTCCCATAGACTCACACACACACAGACCCACAGACTCACATAGAAACTTGTGGCTGACTGCCGTTCTCTCCCATAGACTCACACACACACAGACCCACAGACTCACATAGAAACGTGTGGCTGACTGCCTTTCTCTCTCATAGACTCACACACACACACAGACTCACATAGAAACTTGTGGCTGACTGCCTTTCTCTCCCATAGACTCACACACACACAGACACACAGACTCGCATATAAACTTGTGGCCGACTGCCTTTCTCTCCCATAGACTCGCACACACACACAGACCCACAGACTCGCATAGAAACTTGTGGCTGACTGCCTTTCTCTCCCATACTCACACAGACCCACAGACTCACATAAAAACTTGTGGCTGACTGCCGTTCTCTCCCATAGACTCACACACACACACAGACCCACAGACTCGCATAGAAACTTGTGGCTGACTGCCTTTCTCTCCCATACTCACACAGACCCACAGACTCACATAAAAACTTGTGGCTGACTGCCGTTCTCTCCCATAGACTCACACACACACACAGACCCACAGACTCGCATAGAAACTTGTGGCTGACTGCCGTTCACTCCCATAGACTCACACACACACAGACCCACAGACTCACATAGAAACTTGTGGCTGACTGCCTTTCTCTCCCATAGACTCACACACACACAGACCCACAGACTCACATAGAAACTTGTGGCTGACTGCCGTTCTCTCCCATAGACTCACACACACACACAGACCCACAGACTCACATAGAAACTTGTGGCTGACTGCCGTTCTCTCCCATAGACTCACACACACACAGACCCACAGACTCATATAGAAACTTGTGGCTGACTGCCTTTCTCTCTCATAGACTCACACACACACAGACACAGACCCACAGACTCACATAGAAACTTGTGGCTGACTGCATTTCTCTCCCATAGACTCACACACACACACAGACTCGCATAGAAACTTGTGGCTGATTGCCTTTCTCTCCCATAGACTCACACACAGACCCACAGACTCACATAGAAACTTGTGGCTGACTGCCTTTCTCTCCCATAGACTCACACACACATACAGACTCACATAGAAACTTGTGGCTGATTGCCTTTCTCTCCCATAGACTCACACACAGACCCACAGACTCACATAGAAACTTGTGGCTGACTGCCTTTCTCTCCCATAGACTCACACACAGACCCACAGACTCACATAGAAACTTGTGGCTGACTGCATTTCTCTCCCATAGACTCTCACACACACACAGACTCACATAGAAACTTGTGGCTGACTGCCTTTCTCTCCCATAGACTCACACACAGACCCACAGACTCACATAGAAACTTGTGGCCGACTGCCTCTCCTTCTTTAAAATAAATCGGCCCGCTGTTTCTCTCGTGCCTTGAGATGTGGTCACATTTAAAAGCCATGTAAATCCACATTACCCTGTATCTGTTCTATCCATCCGTTTGTGTCATCTTCCTCAGTACTTTCCATCTCCATTTTGTTCTGCCCCGTAGCCAAAACGGAACATTTGTATCCCATTCCCGCGATAATCGAATTGAACCAATGAAACATCACAACCCCTCGCCCGGTGCCCCCCCTTGTTTGAAGGCTGGCAATCTGACGTCACGGGACGAGAGGGCGAGGTCGTCGCCCATCGGCACCACATACACACAAAGATCACGAGCCGGCGACCGTACCGTAAGCCACGGGTGTGAGCTTGATGACCGTGTGGAGGTAGCACTTGAGGTAGGGGAGCTCTTCTGAAACGAGACGGCACCAGCGTTGGTGAAGTACGCTCAAACGACCACCCTCGTGTGTCCACGGGCTTTCATCCAGCAGCGGATTGATCAAGGGGCTGCGCATTCGTACTTTTGAGTAACTTGATGGGATCGAGTCAATGACAACATTATTGCACGCGATTGGCTGCTTCACCAACCCATGTGGTGCGGTGAGTGGCGGGCGGCGAGGAAGGAACCCCGGTGCCGGTGTGCCCGTGTGTCGGTGCGATTCTGTGTCTGGATGTTCTGTGGCCATGCGTCTGCGTGTTTCTGCGTGTACCTGCGCGCGCGTCGGCATGTACGAGTGTCTGCACAGCGACCACCCCGCGTACCGTAGGACTTGTCAAGGAAGTAGGCGAGTAGACAGCGCATGACGGCCTGGTGGCAGATGACCAGCACGTTCTCCTGCCGCTCCAGCTCCATGATCACCGGCTCCAGGCGGTGCACCAGGTCCTGGTACGACTGCCCGTGTGCAAAGACAAAGACACCCCCCCCCCGCCCCAACAAGCAAAATTTTGTTTGCTTTTCAACGTCCCCCCCTCCGGTTTTTGCTGAAAAACCAACGCAATCGGAGGATTTCACTCCCCCCACGTAACGTAATTGGCTGTGTCGGGTGGCGGAGGGCACAGTTGATCATTAATTGGCGTTATACCTACACGATGATCCAACTCAAAAGTAACCGATTACGGATTCGTAACAGAGGTTGTGAACGCCGACTTAAACACTGGTTGACTGAAAAGAGCTGAAGAAGAACAGCTGAAGGACCACAGAGCTTGGACAATTGCTGGTCGTGCTGGCTCCACCGCTACCCCCTGGCTCCTGACTCACCGCTACCGCCTGGCTCCTGGCTCCTGACTCACCACTACCGCCCGGCTCCTGGCTCCTGACTCACCGCTACCGCCTGGCTCCTGGCTCCTGACTCACCACTACCGCCCGGCTCCTGGCTCCTGACTCACCGCTACCGCCTGGCTCCTGGCTCCTGACTCACCGCTACCGCCTGGCTCCTGACTCACCGCTACCGCCTGGCTCCTGGCTCCTGACTCACCACTACCGCCTGGCTCCTGGCTCCTGACTCACCACTACCGCCTGGCTCCTGGCTCCTGACTCACCGCTACCCCATGGCTCCTGACTCCTGACTCACCGCTACCGCCTGGCTCCTGGCTCCTGACTCACCACTACCGCCTGGCTCCTGGCTCCTGACTCACCGCTACCCCCTGGCTCCTGATTCCTGACTCACCGCTACCGCCTGGCTCCTTGCTCCTGACTCACCGCTACCGCCTGGCTCCTGACTCCTGACTCACTACTACCGCCTGGCTCCTGACTCACCGCTACCGCCCGGCTCCTGACTCCTGACTCACCACTACCGCCCGGCTCCTGGCTCCTGACTCACCGCTACCGCCCGGCTCCTGACTCCTGACTCACCGCTACCGCCCGGCTCCTGGCTCCTGACTCACCGCTACCCCCTGGCTCCTGACTCCTGACTCACCGCTACTGCCTGGCTCCTGGCTCCTGACTCACCGCTACCGCCTGGCTCCTGACTCCTGACTCACCGCTACTGCCTGGCTCCTGGCTCCTGACTCACCGCTACTGCCTGGCTCCTGACTCCTGACTCACCACTACTGCCTGGCTCCTGGCTCCTGACTCCTGACTCACCACTACTGCCTGGCTCCTGGCTCCTGACTCACCGCTACCGCCTGGCTCCTGGCTCCTGACTCACCGCTACCCCCTGGCTCCTGGCTCCTGACTCACCGCTACCGCCCGGCTCCTGACTCCTGACTCACCGCTACCGCCCGGCTCCTGACTCACCACTACCGCCCGGCTCCTGGCTCCTGACTCACCGCTACCGCCTGGCTCCTGACTCCTGACTCACCGCTACCGCCTGGCTCCTGGCTCCTGACTCACCGCTACCGCCTGGCTCCTGGCTCCTGACTCACCACTACCGCCTGGCTCCTGGCTCCTGACTCACCGCTACCGCCTGGCTCCTGGCTCCTGACTCACCACTACCGCCTGGCTCCTGGCTCCTGACTCACCACTACTGCCTGGCTCCTGGCTCCTGACTCACTACTACTGCCTGGCTCCTGACTCCTGACTCACCACTACTGCCTGGCTCCTGACTCCTGACTCACCACTACTGCCTGGCTCCTGGCTCCTGACTCACCACTACCGCCTGGCTCCTGGCTCCTGACTCACCGCTACCCCCTGGCTCCTGGCTCCTAACTCACCACTACCGCACGGCTCCTGGCTCCTGACTCACCACTACCGCCTGGCTCCTGACTCCTGACTCACCGCTACCCCCTGGCTCCTGGCTCCTGACTCACCACTACCGCCTGACTCACCACTACCGCCTGGCTCCTGGCTCCTGCCTCACCGCTACCGCCCGGCTCCTGGCTCCTGACTCACCACTACCGCCCGGCTCCTGGCTCCTGACTCACCACTACCGCCTGGCTCCTGACTCCTGACTCACCGCTACCCCCTGGCTCCTGGCTCCTGACTCACCACTACCGCCTGACTCACCACTACCGCCTGGCTCCTGGCTCCTGACTCACCGCTACCGCCCGGCTCCTGGCTCCTGACTCACCGCTACCGCCTGGCTCCTGACTCCTGACTCACTACTACCGCCTGGCTCCTGATTCACCGCTACCGCCCGGCTCCTGACTCCTGACTCACCACTACCGCCCGGCTCCTGGCTCCTGACTCACCGCTACCGCCCGGCTCCTGACTCCTGACTCACCGCTACCGCCCGGCTCCTGGCTCCTGACTCACCGCTACCCCCTGGCTCCTGACTCCTGACTCACCGCTACTGCCTGGCTCCTGGCTCCTGACTCACCGCTACCGCCTGGCTCCTGACTCCTGACTCACCGCTACTGCCTGGCTCCTGGCTCCTGACTCACCGCTACTGCCTGGCTCCTGACTCCTGACTCACCACTACTGCCTGGCTCCTGGCTCCTGACTCCTGACTCACCACTACTGCCTGGCTCCTGGCTCCTGGCTCCTGACTCACCGCTACCGCCTGGCTCCTGGCTCCTGACTCACCGCTACCCCCTGGCTCCTGGCTCCTGACTCACCGCTACCGCCCGGCTCCTGACTCCTGACTCACCGCTACCGCCCGGCTCCTGACTCACCACTACCGCCCGGCTCCTGGCTCCTGACTCACCGCTACCGCCTGGCTCCTGACTCCTGACTCACCGCTACCGCCTGGCTCCTGGCTCCTGACTCACCGCTACCGCCTGGCTCCTGGCTCCTGACTCACCACTACCGCCTGGCTCCTGGCTCCTGACTCACCGCTACGCCTGGCTCCTGGCTCCTGACTCACCACTACCGCCTGGCTCCTGGCTCCTGACTCACCACTACTGCCTGGCTCCTGGCTCCTGACTCACTACTACTGCCTGGCTCCTGACTCCTGACTCACCACTACTGCCTGGCTCCTGACTCCTGACTCACCACTACTGCCTGGCTCCTGGCTCCTGACTCACCACTACCGCCTGGCTCCTGGCTCCTGACTCACCGCTACCCCCTGGCTCCTGGCTCCTAACTCACCACTACCGCACGGCTCCTGGCTCCTGACTCACCACTACCGCCTGGCTCCTGACTCCTGACTCACCGCTACCCCCTGGCTCCTGGCTCCTGACTCACCACTACCGCCTGACTCACCACTACCGCCTGGCTCCTGGCTCCTGCCTCACCGCTACCGCCCGGCTCCTGGCTCCTGACTCACCACTACCGCCCGGCTCCTGGCTCCTGACTCACCACTACCGCCTGGCTCCTGACTCCTGACTCACCGCTACCCCCTGGCTCCTGGCTCCTGACTCACCACTACCGCCTGACTCACCACTACCGCCTGGCTCCTGGCTCCTGACTCACCGCTACCGCCCGGCTCCTGGCTCCTGACTCACCGCTACCGCCTGGCTCCTGGCTCCTGACTCACCACTACCGCCTGGCTCCTGGCTCCTGACTCACCACTACCGCCTGGCTCCTGGCTCCTGACTCACCGCTACTGCCTGGCTCCTGGCTCCTGACTCACCACTACCGCCTGGCTCCTGACTCACCACTACCGCCTGGCTCCTGGCTCCTGACTCACCACTACCGCCTGGCTCCTGGCTCCTGACTCACCGCTACCGCCCGGCTCCTGGCTCCTGACTCACCGCTACCGCCTGGCTCCTGACTCCTGACTCACCGCTACCGCCTGGCTCCTGGCTCCTGACTCACCGCTACCGCCTGGCTCCTGACTCACCACTACCGCCTGGCTCCTGACTCACCACTACCGCCTGGCTCCTGGCTCCTGACTCACCGCTACCGCCTGGCTCCTGGCTCCTGACTCACCGCTACCCCCTGGCTCACCGCCACCTCTCGTCCGTGGTTCTTCCTCGCACCTCCGAGTCGTTTTCCCTCTTCCGGGAGCGAGCGACTACTGTGCAGCTTATACCAATTAAAATTATTATTAATTCGTACAGGTGTCTCTTTAAAATTGAATTTGGCCAACATGTTAATTATTCTATAATCTATTTCGCGATTTTTTTTTCCTTCCGAAATGCAGTCGTTTTTTTTTGCACCAGTTTTTATTCGGTCGTTTTTGCTCCGAGTTGGAGGGGACTGGCGGCCGTCGGGTCCCGGTTGGACTCACCTCCCCCTTGGGGTAGCGGTAGTGGTACTTGTCCTGGTCCCGGAGCGCAAACTCCTCCGGGTGCGTCTCCTGGATCTCCTCGTAGGTCATCTCTTCGCACACGCCCTGCACGCGGCGGCACGAACCACCCCCACCCCCACCGCAGTGAGCATGCCGCACCGCCAATCGCAATGGTGATCAACCGCCATCAACCGGCTAGGATGGTCGCCCCGATTGTGAAGAAATACCGCACAAACAAACAAAGAGCCAACGACTGAACGAGCGAGTGAATTAACATGAATTAATACATGAATGAGTAATGGAGTGATAGAATGAGCAACTGAACACACGGTTGAATAAGCGATTGATTAAACAAGTAATAGCGATTGAGCAAAGAAGTGAGTGAATTAATCGAGCGAATAAATGAATGAGCGAGTGAATGAGTGAGCGAGGGGGTACATTAATGCAGTGGTCGAGCGAGTGAACAAATGAGTGATTGTATGAATGGAGCGAGTTAATAAATGAATGAAACAGGCGAGCGAAGGAGTGAGCGGGCACGCACAGCGTCGATTTCGTCGAGCGCCTTCCACTGTTCGTACGGCGCGCCCAGCGCCTCGGCCGTCTGGATGGTGCGCTTCATCTGGCTTGTCCAGACCTTCAGGTCCTTGATGTTCTGCTCCCGCAGGAAGTTGCCCATCGTGTTGGCGAACTGGGGGGGGGGGGGGGGGGGCACCAGGAGAGGTGGAGAGAGAGGGGAAGGGAGGATATTGTGGGGGGAAGGAGAGCAAACAGGGTCAAGGGTTAATCTCGCTCTGCCCCCCCCTCCCTGGTCTTCATTACTTGTCTAATCTCTTCCTCTACTCCCCCCCCCCTCCCCCCCCCCTTCATCCCTCGTCCCCATCGTCTGCCCCCTATTTTCCTTCTTAATTCTCTCGCCCTCTTAACTTCCCCCTCTCTCCCTCATTTATCTCCACCTTCATCCTTCCCTCTCATACTCCCCCTTTGTTCCTTTCTCCCTCAATACCTCACTTCACCCTTTCACTTTCCTTCAAAACCTCACTTCATGCTGCTCTCCCTGCTGCTCCTCGCTCCACATCCCCCCACCTCCCACTCTCCTCCTCTTTCCTCTCCCCTCCTTTCCTCCACACCCACTCATCCTCTCCCTGCTACCCTAGGGATGCCACCTCCAGTTATAAAACAAAATAAACCGGGGCAAATCGTGGAAAGACGCAGAAGACGACCATCTCGCGACAGCGGACGAGGGCGGCACTGCGTGCAAGCGCGTGGCCGTGAGCCGTGTGCGCGTTGTTACTCCGCAAGCGACGCAAACACTCCGCAGGACTTGGTTTACCCGGTACAGCAGCAGCAGCAGCAGCAGCAGCAGCTTCCTCCTCAACAAGAAGAGGATCCTGGGAAAAGCTGGACAGGTGGCAGCCCAACGGCTGCCCCCAACCTGCACTCCCACCGCACTCCCACTGCCCCTACCCCCCCCACTACCACCATCCTGCCCCCCCCCCACAGCTCCCACTCGACTCCCATGCTACCCCCACCCCCCTCTCTCTCTCTACCCACATGTTTCCCCCCCCCCTCTACTCACACTCTTCCCCCCACCCCCCCTCTCTACCCACACTCTTCCCCCCACCCCCCCTCCTCTCCCCACACTCTTCCCCACCCCCTCTCTACCCACACTCTTCCCCCCACCCCCCCCTCTCCCCACATGCTTCTCCCCACCCCCCCCCTCTCTCCTCACACGCTTCCCCCCACCCCCCCCTCTCTACCCACACGCTTCACCAGACTGGCCCCCTCCCCCCCACACACTGCCCCCCCTACCCCCGTCTCATTACCCACACTCTCCCCCCCCCCCCAACCCACACGCTTCCCCCCACCGCACTGCCCCCCCCCACCCACCTGCTTCCCGCGCAGGGAGAGCCCCGAGTCCCCGCCGATGCGGCCCTTGATGTTGAGCTCGCTCTCGCCGTGGCGGCACAGGTAGATGGAGCGCGGCTGCACGTGGATGTTCATGAGGTAGTAGACGATCTTGCTCTGCACGTGGTCCTGCACGCGGTTCACCAGGAAGCGCTGCCCCACGTTGATGATCTTGATGTAGGACAGCTCGCTAGATGGGGAGAGAAGAGGAGGAGGAGGTGCGAGATGGGACATCGTCTGCTTGGCGGAGTCGCGAACGTCGTCACCGCGGCGCGAGTTCATTACCGGCGTCGTTCACGTCCTCGCGAACACCGCCCGTCGTCGTCGTCGTCGTCATCGCAGCTTGCAATGCCCTTCATCGTGACGGCTCGGGTGCGTTACGCTCGTCACTCACATTGCAGCTCACACTCATTACTCGCATCATGGCCACGATGAAAGCTTGCTCCGATTAAGACCATCATCATTGTCATCAACGTAATCACAGCCTATGCTTTACATACCCATCATCAGAGCTGCATCTACTTATCGTACAAATCATCACAGCTAACACTTAATTACTACTATTATCATTGTCAACGTAGGTATTAGAGCTTGCTCTTCATCACGAGTAGGGGTATAGTGGATCAAGCGGAGCAGAGCGAATTTAAGCACAGCCAGATCAAGTGGGGTGGAGCATGAAGCGAAGTGAAGCAAGGAGAAGCGGAGTGAAGGTGGCGGAGCAAAGCGAAGCAAGCAGCGGAGCGAAGCGGAGTGAAGCAAGGAGAAGCGGAGTGAAGCAAGGAGAAGCGGAGTGAAGCAAGGAGAAGCGGAGTGAAGCGGAGTGAAGCAAGGAGAAGCGGAGTGAAGCAAGGAGAAGCGGAGTGAAGCAAGGAGAAGCGGAGTGAAGCGGAGTGAAGCAAGGAGAAGCGGAGTGAAGCAAGGAGAAGCGGAGTGAAGCAAGGAGGAAGCAGAGAAGCGGAGTGAAGCAAGGAAGCGGAGTGAAGCAAGGAGAAGCGGAGTGAAGCAAGGAGAAGCGGAGTGAAGCAAGGAGAAGCGGAGTGAAGCAAGGAGAAGCGGAGTGAAGCAAGGAGAAGCGGAGTGAAGCAAGGAGAAGCGGAGTGAAGCAAGGAGAAGCGGAGTGAAGCAAGCAGCGGAGTGAAGCAAGGAGAAGCGGAGTGAAGCAAGGAGAAGCGGAGTGAAGCAAGGAGAAGCGGAGTGAAGCAAGGAGAAGCGGAGTGAAGCAAGGAGAAGCGGAGTGAAGCAAGGAGAAGCGGAGTGAAGCAAGGAGAAGCGGAGTGAAGCAAGGAGAAGCGGAGTGAAGCAAGGAGAAGCGGAGTGAAGCAAGGAGAAGCGGAGTGAAGCAAGGAGAAGCGGAGTGAAGCAAGGAGAAGCGGAGTGAAGCAAGGAGAAGCGGAGTGAAGCAAGGAGAAGCGGAGTGAAGCAAGGAGAAGCGGAGTGAAGCAAGGAGAAGCGGAGTGAAGCAAGGAGAAGCGAGTGAAGCGGAGTGAAGCAAGGAGAAGCGGAGTGAAGCAAGGAGAAGCGGAGTCAAGCAAGGAGAAGCAAAGTGAAGCAAGGAGAAGCGGAGTGAAGCGGAGTGAAGCGGAGTGAAGCAAGGAGAAGCGGAGTGAAGCAAGGAGAAGCGGAGTGAAGCAAGGAGAAGCGGAGTGAAGCAAGGAGAAGCGGAGTGAAGCAAGGAGAAGCGGAGTGAAGCAAGGAGAAGCGGAGTGAAGCAAGGAGAAGCAGAGTGAAGCAAGGAGAAGCGGAGTCAAGCAAGGAGAAGCGGAGTGAAGCAAGGAGAAGCGGAGTGAAGCGGAGTGAAGCAAGGAGAAGCGGAGTGAAGCAAGGAGAAGCGGAGTCAAGCAAGGAGAAGCAAAGTGAAGCAAGGAGAAGCGGAGTGAAGCGGAGTGAAGCGGAGTGAAGCAAGGAGAAGCGGAGTGAAGCAAGGAGAAGCGGAGTGAAGCAAGGAGAAGCGGAGTGAAGCAAGGAGAAGCGGAGTGAAGCAAGGAGAAGCAGAGTGAAGGTGGCGGAGCGCGGCGCCACCTGTCAGCGATGTCGTCCAGCGGCTCGTAGGTCTGCTCGTAGAGCACGATCCTCTTGAGGAAGTCGTCCACGGCGTCGTCCTTGTTCATGCCCTTGTAGTCGGGCCCCGTCAGCTTCACCTCCTGCGGTGGTGGTGGTGGAGCACACGCGGGGGGAGGGGGGGGGGGCAGGGGAACGGGAGGGGGGAGGAAGGCGGTCGGGTGGAACGGGGAGCAGGGGGGGGGGCATCTTGTCAATTGATCGCATTGTTTCGTATCATCTCAAATGCACCTTCGAGGGTGCTGTTTGTTACTGGCCCGCTTGGCATGTTGGGTCTTTGGGCTACGCTACAGAAAAAAAACCACACGCGCATGTTAAATATCGCGACGATCGACATCATCACCACCACCACCACCTCGGGGAACTTAACATCGTGTTGTGAAACGTTGCATCGTGGCCGCCTCGCTCATTCGTCGAGGGCGGTCACACGGCTAGCGGTTTGGGAGGACACGGGGGTCACGAACGGGCATCGCGAGACGAACTCCGCGGCGACCTTGAGCCCTGGCGCCTCGCCCCCGCGCGGTCACTCGAGGACTCGGGCAAAGGACAACGATTAGCGCCGCAAATCCCCCACGACTCGGAAACACTTCGGCAACTCGCAGTGGCCGCGCGTTTTGTGCGTAGGCAGACGTTTCCTTTCGAGAAAGCCGAGTGGGACGCCAGAACTGGGAGGTGGGGGTGCTCCGGGAGCGGTGGCGCAGCAGTTAGCGCACGGCCACTACCAACCACGGCAAACCCGAGTTCGATCCCCGGTTGCAGCCATCATCCGCGGCAAGCGGATTATAGATGATATATATCTCAACCGGTTGAGGTCCTTGATGTTTCGTGGGAGACTTTGTAGAAACATAACGTTTTGCTTTCAACGTTACCGAGGAATTTCGGCCTGCAGGTGGCAGGCTTTTCCTTTAGCGTGGTTTTTTTTCAAAACTAGTTTGGCTACTGAGTGGGCGTGGAGGTCACCGTGACAGGCTGGCTGGGCGCCGGCGGTCCGCGGTGTACCCGCCCCCGAGTGATTTCCTGCAGAGCCGGTTTGTAGGAAATTCCACATTCCAACCAGGGTTTGAACCCAAACCCTCCGATCTTGCGAGCCGTTCGCTCTCGAGCCGAGCCACCGCGCGCGGCTTGTGCTCGCCGGCTTCAAGTGCTTTGCGCGGCGTTTGGACTGATGGTGCAAAGATTCTGAAATCCCCCCCACACCACACCCCACCAACCCCTTCGCTGCCTCTTTCCAACCCAGCAGCATAAATGTTTTCAAGGCAGTCAATCGCCAGGTGGGGGCAAAGTGTCGGTGTTCCCACCTTTTCAAAGATGCCTGGCCAATGTGTAAGAGTCGGCCAAACATACCCCCCTAAAGGGGCCCTCTAGAGCTCCCCTCTAGTGGAGGCTCCTTCCGTCAGCGGTGGCGTGAGCGAGCGCCTGCAAGGCTGCGCCTTTACCACATCCTGCTTTGAGCACATTCCAATCGCAAGGATGGTTTTGCAGGCGGACGGAAACTGAGATACTGGAGACACACCCCCACCACGCATACAGTCGACGCGACCGGGAGTGCAGTGACCACGACCAGCAGTGCGGTTAAGGGTCCCGGTAGTTCGGTTGACGTCCACGGTAGTGCAGTTAATGACCCCCGGTAGTGCGTTTAACGGTCCCGGTATTGCGTTCAGTAGGACTGTTAGTGCATCACGGGATGCGGGTGGGGGAAGGGGGGCAAGAGAGGTGGGGCGGGGGGCCACGTGCCTGGATGTTGGCGGCGATGACATCGGGGTCCATGCACACCGACTCCACGAAGAACACTTTGTACGCGTTCTCGCTCGCAAAGTTCATGATGATCTCGCGCCGTTCTCGCGTCGTGTTCGTTGCGTCAAACACCTGGGGGCACGGGAAGGGGGGGGGGGCACGGGAGAAGGGGAAGGGGGGGGGGCACGGGAGGAACAACTATCAATTAGAACTATAAACCATCTGTATTTTACCGGGTAAGGCTCACTAAGCCATGTAGCTACTTTTCAGAAGCGACCTGCCCACAAATGATAGCTCAACGAAGTGGCTCATGTGGTAATTTAAAGCAACCAAAACTCGAAACGCACGTTTTTGAATGTGAAGGGAAAAACCGGAGAACTCGGAGAAAAATCCACGAGACCACGAGGAAAGAGACACGCAAACTCCAAATATACAGCAGCAGGCATCAGAGTCGGAATCAAACCCACGACCTCCTGTCTGCCAGGCGAGGTAGTTAACATCTCACCGGCGCGGCATCCCAAAAAAGTTCCCTGCTCAAAAACCATCCAGATGCAGCCCACAATGCACTGCCCCAGGCGGCGGTGGCAGTGGCTTTAACATATCCGCTGAGAGTGATGGCGGTGGCAAGGGTGAGCGTGAAATTGGGGCGAATCTCGTCAAGCGGCGATGCCCCACAGTGCAGCAGCGCGACCGCCTCTAACCCAGAACTGTTGAGGCAGCAGCGAGGGTTGGTGGATCACACACAGATGTTGTGAAACGCTTCCCGTGGAAGAGTGTGTCTGTGTGTGTGTGACCGCCATGTGTGTGCGTCTGTCTGACCGCCGTGTGTGTGTGCGCGAGACCGCCGTGCGTCTGTGCGATCACTCACTGCCACTTGGCCGCCCTCGTCTGAGAGGTACGTCTTCACGTCGTTCAGCGCCGTCAGCGCGCACTGCCTGCGGGAGGGAGGCACCGTCGTCCCGTCAAGCAAAACAACGTCGGCAGCGGCGAGCAGGCAAGCAAACGCTCATTCTATTTAAAGAACCGCAGAGCTTGGGGGGGGTGACATTTGGCACCGGCTCAACTACGCCAGGCTGCTGCTGCTGCTGCCGCCTTCTCGCTCGTCTGTGGTTCCCCCTCGTGCCTCCGAGTCGTCCTCTCTCTTCGAGAGCGATGAGCGAGCACCGTGCGCGCTATGAGTCGACATTATTATTGTTACAGATGGCCAGGGACGTGGCTCGCGGCCCCGCGGTAGCGAGCCCCGGGGGGAGACGTCACACCCCAGCCGTGTCATTCTCCCTCCCGTGCGTCGGTGCGATTAATGCGAGGTGATTATGCGAGGTGTGTGTGTTTGCGAGCACCGTCATCGCAGCAGTTGTATAACCACCACCCACAGGCGGTTGCCATGACGGCGTCAGTCCTGCCCGTCTGGGTCTCTGCACCTCCGGCCATTTGCATAAAAAATCCTGTGAATTCTAATCAGGCCAAAGTCTGCGTAAATGAGCATCAAACATTACCAACAAACTCCATGAACCCTAAAAAGCAGCCTTAGTCTAGCTCTAAGAGCCTGAGGCATTCATAGTGAACTCTAAGAAGCCTAATGGTGCTTTCTATGCGCTTTGAGTAACAGGTAAAGGTGCAGCCCTGCAAGTGCTCACTCACGCCACTACTGGCAGAAGGGCTTCCCTGCTAGACGAAACTCTATAGAGAGCCCACCGCGAGGGAGCATTTGGCCTACTCTGCCGCGCTGACCAGACGTCTTGACATGAAGGTGCCTTGGGTACTAACACCGAACCAAAAGGCTCCTAAAGAAAGGAACCCTTTTGTCACGCGGCGACAGGACTTCATCGTCGTCTGGGTCAGAAGGAACGACATCATCGCTACGTAAACGCCACGCGCATGGGCGGTGACACATTCCCGCAGAGGTTTACCGTTCAAAATCCTGCAGCCACCCTGGTTAACCCCGTGGTGCGTATTAACCGTCACGATAACTAGAAAATATTTTTTATTTTACCAGGTAATGCCCACTGAGCCGTTTAGCTCTTTTTCAGAAGCTCAAAGAAGTGGCTTATCATCATGTGGAAATTTATAGCAGCCAAGTATCATAGTCCCCGAGTTACGATGGTCCGACTTACGATATTATTGACTTACGATGGGGTCGTCGTAACGCATCTCCATCGTAAGTAGAGGACTACCTGTCCTCTAAACGCATGTTGATTATAAATGTGGTGGGGAAAACCGGAGAACCCAGAGAAAAATCCACGTGACTATGGGGAGAGAGAGAGATGCAAACTCCAAATATACAGGTGCCAGGGTCGTGATGGAACCCACGACTTGCTGCATACCAGGCGAGGTAATTAACATCTCGCCACTGTGGCACCCACAATGATACCACTATCATGCACCATCTGCTTTACTCACGGTGGACGTTAAAGAGATCCTGCGATGTGGTTCGCAAGAGTAGGCCACACTGTGGCGGCGTCACGGTCACCAAATTTGAAAACATTCCCAACACAGAGTTACTCAATCGGGATCATACACCGCAAGCAATAATCACTCCCCATTGCGAAAACTTGGCAGGACTTTCTTGAAAATTAGACTCGGTGAGGCTTTCTTGGGTATAATAATATCATCAAAGTATAACACGCGAGGGACAAGGCACCGATCGAAAGCATCACGGAGTCCGTTTGGTTCGGGTAGTTTTTCTTCCCCGGCTGAGTGACGGGACTCAACCGTGCGTGCGTGCGTGTGTGCGTGCGTGCATGCGCTTCGTACTTCCTGATCGTCATCGCCTCCTCGTTGTCATGGCGGAAGAACTCGAACGAGCGGTACGAGTCGGTGGCCTGGCGCCGGTACATGCCCACGTTGAACACTGCACCGTCCCGCATACACACACACAAAAAGATGCCCCCCATCCTTAACAGACTGTTGGGGCAAGTGCTGTTAGTAAGCAGTTATGAATTCCAGCACGGCACAGAAGGGAGTGGGTGGCGAATACCATTCCTGGCTGCCTTTGTCTCCCCAGTGCTGATGTTTACACACTGCACCAGGTCTCATTTGAGGCCGAGTGGACCAAGGGGAGAGCCAGGACCGGTTCATAGCACTGTGCGACTGGCGTGATTGGAGAGTGACAGTGCCATGTGGTAGCGAGGCGGTCGAGGGGTGGTTCGGCTGTGGTGGGCGACGTGGGCTCGTGGTAAGAGCGTGTCACGGTGGCGAGATGTGACTACATCGCCTGGTATACAGGAAGTCGTGGGTTCAATCCCGACCCTGATGCCTGTATATTTGGAATTTGCGTGTTCTCTCCGTGGTCGCGTGGATTTTCTCCGGGTCCTCCAGTTTTTCCCCCCACATTTGGAAACACGCATTTAGGGTATTTGGCTGCTGTACATTTCCACGTGATAAGCCACTTCGTTGAGTGATCATTTGTGGCCAGGTCGCTTCTGAAAAAGAGCTACATAGCTCAGTGGGCATTACCCGGTGAAATCCAGATGGTTTATAGTTCTTATTGATAGTTGTGCCACCCCCTTCCCCTTCTCCCGTGCGCCCCCCCTCCCCGTGCCCCCAGGTGTTTGACGCAACGAACACAACGCAAGAACGTCGTGAGATCAACGTGAATTTTGCGAGCAACAACGCGTACAACAAGGTGTTCTTCGTGTTTAGTTTCGTGTCGGTGGGCGATGCCTCGCCGGGCGATCTCGCGGAATCCACCCACCTTTGGTGCTGACTCCGACCCAGTTGAGGTAGCGCGTGAGCTTCTTGGAGATGTAGGTCTTTCCCCGAGCCGGCAACCCCACCATCACAATGAGAGATGGGGAGTTGGTGAGCCGGGGCACACATGCTGCACACGTGCACAAAGACAAAGATCGCCCCGTGGAGCCTTTAACAAACCGTTGGGGTAAGTGCTGTTCGCGAGCACCTGTTGAAGGCCGGCATGGTGTGGCCGATACCACGCCCGGCCGTCTTTGTATCCCCAACGGTGATGTTTACATGCCGCACCCGGTACTCCTTTAAGGCCTGGGACCGGTTCAGAATATTAGTCGCTGGTGTTGGCTGTGAGCGGGAATCGAACTTGGATCGCCAGGTGAGTAGCACAGTGCGCTAACCACTGCACCATACGTGCACATGCGCACGGGTAAGACACACACACACACAGAGACAACCACCGATACATAAACCTGCACGTGCACACACACAAGCTGAGATAACCATGAAAAGGCAATCATACATATACAGGCACATCCGGATAAACACATCCACGTGAATGAATACACCCGCACTCACAGACAAGAACAAAGACACACATCCCCCCTATAGCCTTAACGGCTGTTGGGGAAAGTGCTGTTCGTGAGCACCTATTAAGGCCCGCACGGCTGCCTCTGTCTCCCAAGTGCTCATACTTTCATACCATGCCAAATACAGTAAAACCTCGTTATTTCGGTATTTGATCATTCGTAACTGGGGATAATTCGGCACGGCTGCGCTTTCGGCATATATATACGGTGTGCTAGTAATTCGTCACGAGCCGAATTGCCGTACCGAATGGTTCAATCTCGGCACAGAAGTGAAGCGACGCTGCGCGCCACGACCAAAACAACGACTCGGTCGAGTGGCGGCGCGCATGGCAAGCGTGGTGAGCGTGGTGAGCGTAGCGAGCGTGGTGAGAGTGGTGAGAGTGGTGAGTGGCGAGCGTGGCGAGAGTGGTGAGAGTGGCGAGTGTGGTGAGCGTGGTGAGTGGCGAGCGTGGGGAGCGTGGTGAGCGTGGCGAGAGTGGTGAGTGGCGAGCGTGGCGAGAGTGGCGAGAGTGGTGAGTGTGGTGAGCGTGGTGAGTGGCGAGCGTGGGGAGCGTGGTGAGCGTGGCGAGAGTGGCGAGAGTGGTGAGTGGCGAGCGTGGCGAGAGTGGTGAGTGTGGTGAGCGTGGGGAGCGTGGGGAGCGTGGTGAGCGTGGTGAGAGTGGCGAGAGTGGTGAGAGTGGTGAGCGTGGCGAGAGTGGCGAGTGTAGTGAGCGTGGTGAGTGGCGAGCGTGGGGAGCGTGGTGAGCGTGGCGAGAGTGGCGAGCGTGGTGAGCGTTAGTGCAGACCCGTCGCTTTGGACTTCTCTGCGCAAGCCAACCCTCTCAGCAATGTCGTCTACACCTACATCAAGAAGTAATAGAAAGGGACTTGAAGTATAAATCCCTGAGTCTGCGAGACAAATCCAAAGTTTTTGATAGAATTGATGCAGAAGTGTCAATGTGTCTGGTGTGTGAAGAGTTTGGAAAACAAATTTGGATTTTATTTTATTGGGGCAGGAGGCACTAGGCAGTACCATTCGGAATATTGGATAATTTGGCAAGGCCAGAGCCTCATATATGTCGAATTAACAAGGGTTTACTGTACTTATTTAAGGCTGAGTCAACCTAGTAGAGGCCTAGGTCTGGGTCATATATTCACCACTGTTAATGGCCGTGAGTGGTAATCAAACCTTAGGCCACCGGGTCGTAGCGCAGTGCGCTAACCAGTACATCACCGCTCCCCACATACATGCATATAGACACACATGCACGCGCGCGCACACAGACAACCGCCATTCACCACTACATGGCGGTGATGTCACCACGGTGCCTGTGTCAGGCTAGGTGCACACAGACACACATGTACGCACACAGACATGGGCGGTTGGATGGGTGAGTGGGTGAGCGAGCGAGAGGCTGAGTGAGTTGTCGAGTGAGCGAATGAGCGAGTGATTGAATGACAGAGTGAGTGTGTGGGTTCGTACCACAGGCTCACGCAAGCGAACACAGCGGTAGATGCGTATAAATGTATCACGTCAACTCTCAATTCGCTTAAGTAACAGGGCGTTAGGGTGGTTCTAATCAACACAAAAACGCGAAGATGTGAAAAACTCCGCACCTTAGGGTATAAAACCCCCAAGGGATTGTTTATCTTCGTGGAATGCGGGTGAAGGAGTGGGAGATCATATCGTCAGTGTTGATTCTAAGGTCGTGGGTCACTGTGTCACCAGGAGCAGCGGCTACCAACAGAACGACTGGCGTACGCTTAAAAGGAGGTTAATGAGCGTGGAGTTAACCTCTTTAGTATCCGTCTTCCTTGTGCTGAAAACTGGCGACCTTTGAACCCGTGGTGGTACAATCACATGAAGGGGAGAAGGGTCAAGGATGTGAGCCCTGTGAGACAGGCCTGGGGAAAGGGGGAAAGGGGACAGGAAAAGGAAGAGAGAAGAGAATGGGAAATGAGGAAAAGTATGGAAAAGGAATGTAAGGAATGGGAGCGAAGTGGTCAGGAGAGATGTTTAACTTCTTTCCCACCGTACGTAGCCAAGCAAGCTATTCAGCAGAGGTGCGGGTTGAGGAGAGGGTAGCTTAGGACCTCGACGCTGCTGCATGGAACGACAGTGGGCGGCGAGGAGAGGGCAGGGATTTAGAGCCACACAGAGGTCACGTGAGCTGGTTTGGAGTGTGTGTATAGATTAGAGTGGAGGGGTTTCACGGTAGGGGTGGTCACACAGGAGTCACATGATATATGGGGGAGGCTGGGGCTGATTTAAATACATTTAGCAAACATTGGGAAACATTTACCCACAGATTAGGAGCCTCGCCAAGTCTCGCGACTCTTTTTCAAGCGTGCAATTGTGATCAATAGGCATATCAGACGTGAGGACATCGAATCGCATAATTATTGGTTCACTGCAGCTCGAAGACTCGGTCCCTACAAGGCGTGTGGTGAAGTTAGGAGATGTCTACGCAAAGTTTTTTTCAGTAATGGGGATGATGGCCACCATGTATACTCCAATCAGGTTAAATGTTGAGCGTGTTTACACATTTGTAAACACACTTAACACAACACATCAGCCACGTGGCCTTCTAGGAGTGCATATTTTCAGCAGCAAAACTCTGCACCGGTTTCACACACATCATCATCATCATCAGCAATGTCAGGCTCGCTTGAATCAATGCTCGTGAAATGGGAACACTGTGTGACTGGTTTGAGTGGGGGTCAGAACATCAGTGGTGGGCGGCCACACAGCTGGCACGTTCGTTTAGTTTAACTAGGCCGAGTTCAGGGATTGGTGTCACCCCCACATCTTACCCATAGCTGTCAACCCATACGGTTTACCCCGATTCTTGTACAGGGCAATTGAGTTATTAGGTCCATACGGCGTACAGCCGTTTCAATAGGGCAAACCAAATGTGTTTATTTGTTTGTGTTTCTCTCCCTTGTGATGGGACTTTGTAGGATGAACGTTGAGATTTATAAGGGCACGGGGTGATCAATAAGGCCTGAATTGGTCTGTAATAAGCTAGGCACTGATAAGGGGTTGAGAAGGTATGATCTTTAAACCTGTACGTTTCTTTTTCCATGTTCACGAAACTATTCCCCAATACAACCTGGAAAATTGGAGGAACGGAAAGAACGAAAATGTAAACGAAAAACTTTCAGATGAGCTCGGCGAAAATATTTTCACCGCATCTCTTTTTTTAACCTTGACCAACATGTCATAGGTCGTACGTATCTCAACATATCTGAAACATCAACAATACCATAGGTCCCCCTGGTTCATTGTGGTTAGGAATGTGGATTTGTTTGCGTGCGCAGGCCGCCACATGTACATACCAGCATACTCATACACACATACCAGCCAGCACAAAGACGAAAAGACAACGATTCCTCCTACAGCAGTAACAGACTGTTGGGGCAAGTGCTGTTAGCGAGCACCTATTAAGGCCTGCACGATACACGAGGGGGTGGGCGGCCAGCACCACGCCCGATTGCCTTCGTCTCCCCAGTGGCAATATTTTACACACCGTACCAAGCACTCATTTTAGGCTGAGTCGACCTAGGGGAGGCCCAGGACCCGTTCAGATAATCGCACTGGTGTTGGCCGTGAGCGGGAATCGACCTTGGGTCGCTGGGTTCGTAGCGCAGTGCGCTAACCGCTGCACTACTGCTCCCCACACACACACACAAGCATGGACAGGCCTCTACACACGTAACAAGACCTTCTGTATGAACAGACTGTTGGGGCTGTTAGCGTGCAGCACCTATGGTGGCCAGCACACGGTGCACCTAAGTGGGAGTTGGTGTGGCCAGCACCACGCCCAGACGCCTTTGTCTCCCCAGTGCTGATGTTGAGACGCCGCTCCAGGCATGCACTCATTTATGGCCGAGTCAACCTACTGGGGGAGAGGGGCCCATGACAGGCATCAATTATTTCGTCGCTGGTGTTGGCCGCGAGTGGGAATCGATCTCGAGTAGCCGGGGTTAAGCGGTGCGGCGTGCCGACTGCAGTGCCACCGCTCTTCCCCCGCGAGCCCGATGAATGATGCAGTGAATTATAACTCAGAGTAAAAGGCGTCGTTTGGAGCGCAGCGGTGTCCGTTCTTACATAATGGGATTGCATAACGATTTCACACCTGACCCATTTAAAGTACTGTATAAGGTAGCCCTTTGAATTTCAGATTTCTTAGGGATTGATAAATATTGTGATTCTGGTTGAATACAAATATAGTAACAATATGAAAATCAGACAATTTCTCTACACATATCTGCCTCATCCAAATAAAAAAATAAAATGTGTTAAGTATTTCTTGACAAGCCACACAGGCTTCTGCGAGTTCATCAATTCAGCAGCATTTATTTCATGACAAGCAAACACTCTGGACTGGTTTTCCTCAGTGTCTCATTAGCAGGGTCAAACTGGCCTGATTCAATGCTGGTGAACTGGCGATACTGTGGATGATTGAGTGGGGTCAGAATAAGCAGCGAGGAGCCACAGAGCTTTCAAGTCGATTTTGTGTAACCAGGTAAGAAATCAAGAGAGCAGGACAGTCTGAAACGCAAATGACTGATCTGGTGACCAAGATGAAACAGACACATAGCGATACGTAGAAACACAGAAATAGAGAGACCCTTCGAGATAGATACAGAAAGACACATGGAGACCCATAGAGACACGTAGAGATGCATATAGACCCATCGAGAGCCATTGAGATAGAGACCCATAGAGATACTGAGATCTCTAATTTATAATTTCGAGTGGATTTTGTTTAACCAGCTGTGTAAGAACTCAAGAGAGCAGGATAGTCTCGTTCCCAAGAGTGACCTGGGGCGACCGAGATAACTAAACAAATAGAATAAAAGTACAGGCAATGAAAAAAAACAGAAATCGGCACCAAAACAAAACTGCGCCGCGTGAGAAATAAAAAACATTGCACAAACAAAACCAGTGTCAGTTAGATTATCAATTGCCCAGAATGCAAGTCGTCTCGGGCAGATTATATTCAGACCGGTTTAGCGCTCAAATGAGCATCGAGGCACTGGTTACAGCCCTGAACCAGTGGTGGAAACTCCACGTGACTATGGCAGGGGGCAAGTATCTCCCAAACTGCCAGGACACAACCACCGCTATTGACTTGCCCACAAAATAGTAGTTATTTTATGGACCCCCCAGAGTAGCGGGATGATGGATTAAGTCACCCCCTGCCCCCACAACGAGGATATGAACCAGCAACCTTGAGATTGCGAGCCCTCCCACTCGCCACCGCCCACCTCACCCCCCTCCAACGCTGGGCCAAAGGACTTTCAAGTTCAATGGCCTCATAGCAAGGTGAGGAATTCACAAGCCCTTACTGGAGTCAAACTTGATCAAACCAGCTCAGCTGATCACAGGACCTCACTCGTTACACCGCCACGCCAGTCAAACCCACCAACCCATGCTAAGGGCAGATAGTGGTGGTTTTAAAAAAAAAATCACGATTTTCATAATCGTGAACCATGCATTTTTATAAAAAGAGGTTTTACCCTTTCTGGCAATACAACCGGTGTTACGATGTTAAAACACCAAACTGAAACCTTTTGCAAGGAATCGTGTCTGCATTAACCACACGTACTTGTGGTGAACATGCAAACGAAAAAAAACAGGCTCTGATAGTATATGATGCATTGTTTTTTTAACTGATTGCTCCCCACCAAAGACAGCTTTCTTTAGAGTCTCGTCTCAAACAGTGTTAGACCAGAGGACGCCAAAAGCTGAACAGCACAAAGACAATGCCACTATCAGGACATACATTTTTGTTGCATTTGTTAAGAGAACAAAATGCCATCACCCTAGGTGACCCATGGTGTGGGTAGTGTTACTCTTGTTATTTTACCAGGTAAGGACCTACTGAGCTAATAGCTCCTTTTCAGACGCGACCTGGGCACAAATGATAGGTCAACGAAGTGGCTCAACGATGTGGAAATGTATAGCAGCCAAATACTCTAAAGCGCATGTTTCTAAATGGAGGGAAACAAACAATAGGACCCTGAGAAAAATCCACGCGACCATGGGGTAGTTAACATCTCGCCACAATGGCGTTGACTGTGGTATTCATGGAGTTGATGGTTGGTACACGTGTGGGTGATGGTCACTAAATATGTGATGGTACTTGCGGAGGAGATGGTGCATGTGTCGGTAGGTGATGAATGGAAAGGCCGTAATTATAATATATTAGGGGGGACACATCCCCCCCCCCAATATTCAAATATGCTCAAAATGTAGGACTTTTCAAATCGCAAAAAATCGCAGCCTTTGCGATTTGCTCATCGCATTGTTTCAAATTGCGATTTCGATATAAAATCGATTAATCGTTCAGGCCTACTCTTAACCCCGTCTCCCGAGGTCTGACCTGGTTCAAACACCAAACTGAACGGTGCACAGTGCTAAATATGGAACGCACGTGGCATCACGACCACGTGCGTCTACTCGCCTAGGTATGCGACTGCATTGTGAGTGGGGGGAGCGGTGGCTTAGAGGTTAGGGTGACCCCGAGCTCGATTCCGGCTCACGGCCAACACCAGTGGCGGGTCATTTGAACTCGGTTATGGGCCTCCCCTAGGTCGACTCAACCTCAAATGAGGACCCGATGCGATGTGTAAACATTGCCACTGGGGAGACAAAGGCGGCCGCGCGTGTTGCTGGCCACCCAACACCACGCACGGTCCAAATAGCACTTTATGTTAAGGCTATAACAGTACACAGGGGAGAGGTCTTTGTATATACTGCATAGCGCTATTGTGTATATCGCTGAATACTTGTGGTTATGTACTTTGTATATTTTACGTCGTGTTCGCACTGCTGTATGCAGTTCGGTGCAGCGTGTGTATGAACTGCACGTGCACGTGCATACTGTGTGTACATATAATCACAATGTCATTTGTAGCTGGTTGTAGCGCCACGTGTTGTGTATACAAGCCGCGTGTAATCTGAGCAGCACAAGACAACCACGCTCGGTCGCCTTTGTCTCCCGAGCGACGACGCTGACACAGATACTCACTGAAGGTCAAGGCGACCCAGGGGGAGGCCCTGGACCTGTCTTGATGAGTACTTGCCGCTCACTCGTCGCGAGCGGGAATCCAACTCGGAGCGCGGTGCGCTAACCACTGCACCACCGCTCCCCCAGGACTCACTCCACGCGTGCTCAAAAAAACACTCCACGTGTACTCAGACTGGCACTCACTCCACGTGTACTCACTCCACGTGTACTCGGGCCGACACTCACTCCACGTGTATTTAGACTGGTACTCACTCCACGTGTACTCACTCCACGTGTATTTAGACTGGTACTCACTCCATGTGTACTCACTCCACGTGCACTCACTCCACGTGTACTCACTCCACGTGTACTCACTCCACGTGTACTCAAACCGACACTCACTCCACGTGTACTCACTCCACGTGCACTCTCTCCACGTGCACTCTCTCCACGTGTACTCACTCCACGTGCACTCTCTCCACGTGTACTCAGACCGACACTCACTCCACGTGTACTCAGACTGACACTCACTTCACGTGCACTCTCTCCACGTGCACTCTCTCGACGTGTACTCACTCCACGTGCACTCTCCACGTGCACTCTCTCCACGTGTACTCTCTCCACGTGTACTCAGACCGACACTCACTCCACGTGTACTCAGACTGACACTCACTCCACGTGCACTCTCTCCACGTGCACTCTCTCCACGTGTACTCACTCCACGTGCACTCTCTCCACGTGTACTCACACGCCTTCCTGGGCGCCACGTCCCCGTGTCTCGGCACCCAGATCTTCTGGATGCGAGTCTGCGTGAGCTCCCGTGAGTCCGCCAGGGTGAGCGCTTGCAGGGGGTCAGCTTGACCCCAGTGACCTCACTCAGGTTGACCCCTGCGACCTCACTCAGGTTGACCCCTGTGACCTCACTCAGGACTCCAACTTTGTCGTCCTAATAACGTCCCCGGTGATCCGCACACGAGCAGTCCACGAAGTCAAATCCTCTGCGTGCCTTGGCCAGACTTGGATGACCTTACCCTAACAAGGACCTTCTAGAGCCCTTTACAAAAATAATACACAGTAATAATAATCGTGCTAACTCAAACCTAATATTACAACTTTAATAACACTGCTGTTTGTTACTGTCCGCTTGGCGTGTTGGGGCTTGTGCTCAGCAAAACGCGTGATTTAGACAAATAAAATCGATCTCCCACCTGCTCAGTTGACTCGATCGGCACGAATGAACCGATGAGCGGGTATCGAACCGGGACGTCTCGAACTTTTAGGCAAACGTCAAACTGCGACCGGTAACATCAACAAACTGTCTCTCACCCCACAAAACGTTACGCAACCCAACCTGCACGTGCCTCCTCTCTATCCCTCCTCCTGCCTGTAACTAATTAACTCATTAATGACCACCCAGTCCTGCAAGTTTCAAACCCACCTCTCCACCACAACACCCAACGCGTTTGAGCTCTTGAGATGGACTAATCTCAAACGCCTCGCCAATGAGCCCACGTGGCTAAGATTTGAATCCGCCCAAGCCTTTAATACCTAGAGACCACAACACAAAAGAGCGTTTGTTGTGTACTCGCTGGCCTTTATCTACCGTCAGCACCGACGTGTGACCAGCAAAGATATACAGTGTGTATTGTAGACTGTAGTCAATGAAAGCTGTAGACGTTACAGATAGTTTAGTTTATATACTGTACAGTCCCTGCCGGCTTCACTCTCACCCCCTCCTACTCTGTCTTGCCAGGCTCTGTGGGTTCTGGCTTTGTAGATCCTTTATGTGCCGCTCCTTTCTTCACTTCATTCATTATATCGCTCAAGGGGTTGTTCTCTGAGACCACGTGGCCGCCACGCATCCCCCCCCGCCCCACACTGCCACCGGCACCTCCCTCCCTCCCCACCACCTCCTCATTCTCCCTCCCTCCCCACCACCACCTCCCTCTCTCTCTCTCCCTCTCTCCCCACCACCACCTCCTCCCTCTCTCCCCACCACCACCTCCTTCTCCACCACCACCCTCCCCACCACCACCTCCTCCTCCCTCCCACCACACCACCTCCTCCCTCCCCACCATCATCACCACCACCTCCTCCTCCCTCCCCACCACCTCCTCCCTCCCCACCACCACCTCCTCCCTCCCCACCATCATCACCACCACCTCCTCCTCCCTCCCCACCACCACCTCCTCCTCCCTCCCCACCACCACCTCCTCCTCCCTCCCCACCACCACCTCCTCCTCCCTCCCCACCACCACCTCCTCCTCCCTCCCCACCATCCATCATCACCACCACCTCCCTCCCCACCATCATCATCACCACCACCTCCTCCTCCCTCCCTCCCCACCACCTCCCTCCTTCCCCACCATCACCACCTCCTCCTCCCTCCCCACCACCACCACCTCCTCCCTCCCCACCATCACCACCTCCCTCCCCACCACCTCCTCCATCCCCACCACCACCTCCTCCTTCCCCACCCTGGCCCCCACCATCGGGAGTGACTTCTTCCCAACGTTGATAACCACCCAGTCCGCTCGCGAAAACACTCAACACCACCGATTGCTGCCTTCAAATAAACAAAAATATGGAATAGGCGACGTTTCGGGAAATGTCCTTTGTAATGTTATCTCCCTCGCCTGGTGTGCAGGAGGCCGGAGGTTCGATCCCCGACCCTGACGCCTGCTGTATATTTGGAGTTTGCGGTGTCTCTCTCCCCGTGGTTGCGTGGATTTTTTTTCTCCGGGTCCTCCGGATTTTCCCTCCACATTTAAAAACGTGCATTGGAATTATTTAGATTCATTTGCTGCTGTAAATGTGCAAATGATAAGCCCACTTTGTTGAGCTATCATTTGTGGCCAGGTTGCTTCTGAAAAACAAGTTAATACCTCAGTGGACTTTGCCTGGTAGGATGGGGATGGTTTAGTTTCATTTGTGTGTTTTTTTGGGTGATTTGTTTTCACGACTATGATGTTTTTGAATTGTTTGTTGTTGTAACGTTCTTGTCTGCCCCTACTAGACATCTGTGAAAAAGATCTTTCTAGCTCATCGGATTCCTCCAGTAGAAATAAATATTCTGATTCTGAGAGCACAGGCTCCTCTAAGAAATCAATTGCGTTGTCTCTTTTCCTTGTTCTTAAAACTGTGATACACTTATTGTAACGCAGTGTATAATTCAATGTTGGGTTTGTCTATGGCAGTGTATAGTACGGGGTATGTCCGTGTGATATAAGAAAAAAGCTTAGCTGGAGGCATATTATTTTTTAGCGACATAGAAGTGTAATGTATGACTTACTGTTAGTAGCTCAGCTTATTGGAGAGTATATTGAGTATATTGATTACATTGATGTATTTTATATTTTAGTTTTTTTTATCGGTTCACTATATGGTAGTCATTTTATAGTGTAGCGTATACCCAGTTACGTAATGTTAATAGCTCAGCTTATTGGAGAGTATATAGAGCACATTGATTATATTGATGTAGTTTATATTTAGTTTTTTCACATAGGTGTATTATATGGTAGTAGGGCATTTGCAGTTCTTTACAAACTTCTTTGTTGCCCACACAATGCACGAGCTTGATACGCGGTGGTTTGGCTGCTGCAGCTCCTTACGATTAAAATTTCCCTCCCTTTATTACTGCTAATCCTACTTCCTCCCTTTATCACTGCTAATCCTACATAATACACTAGCATAATATGACTTTGAGACTCCCCCCACCACCTACACATTCCACAAGGAGTGACTAATCCCATATCTACATTTTCCATCAATATGCTTAATTCCGGTGTTGATATGTAAACTCCTTTGTCAAGGCGCTCTCCTCCCCCGACCCAGCTTAAATATACGCTGCCAAGCTTGGCGGTGTTCATTGGGACGCTGTCTTTCCGACAGCTCTGTTTCTTCACCTGAGGACAGCTGCTTGTGTTGTGGCCGAAAAGTCGTGAGAATTTTTATTTTATTATGCTAAATTTTTCTTATTTTATTATTTCCATTCTACGTGACTTTACCGAAAGAACCAAGAAGATGTGATACACTCTTACTCTTATCCACTCATGCTCTCTGGCCCATGTTCCATGAAAAAGGGCCATTGCCCAAAACGTCACCTATCACGTGTCTCCTTTGGAGGCGACACGCACACACAAAGTGCTATTGACATGGAACGTGTTGAGTTTGTTGATTATTATGCTTTGTGCAGCACTGCCAACGGAGCAAAGCCAGCACCACCAACATCATTTGTTGCACTGTTTTCGTTGCTGGGTGAGAAATCGTGGCACAGTACAATAATTGTTCTCTCAAACTCTTAGGTTTTTTCGGTAAAGTCACGTAGGTAAAACATAAAATTAAAGGTTAATAAAAGTAATAATGGAAATAAAATAAAATAATATATCACGACGTTTCGGAGGCAACACAAGTCTCCGTCATCAGGTGGGACCGTCACAGCTAAAATTACTGCATCAAGTGCTGAGCTGTGACGGTCCCACCTGATGACGGAGACTTGTGTTGCCTTCGAAACGTCGTGATTTATTATTTTATTTTATTTCCATTATTACTTTTATTAACGTTTAATGTTATTTTTTACCTACGTGACTTTACCGAAACAACCTAAGAGTATGAATCCTTGCAGTCACGAAAGCTTCAAATCTAGAAGTGTTCTGTCAACATTATTGTCAGCAACCCCTCCACCACCCGACAATAATAACAACACCATCTGTGGAAACCTGACAATCTCCACAAGTACGTGTAGTTGATGCAGACTTGCTTCCTTTCAGTTTCATTTATTAGGTATAACCCTGTGGCTCTTGACTCGGGTGTAACCGCAACAAAACAAAAACACGAACAAGAAACATCTTAAAGTGACTACAAGCAACAGAAAAATCCTGGAAAAAAACAGCAAAGTCTTCCAGAAAAAACACCGTTTGAACACCCTAACACCTGTTTTATTGCCAGAAAGGGTAAAACCTATTCTTATGTTTTTACTAGCTTTACTACCCGGCTTCACCCGGGACTTGGATTAATTTCATATTCCCTTATATTTCACTGAAAAATCCTGAAAAAATGTGATGCTTGCAAGAAAGAATAAAAGCCGAAACAAATCAATTTAACTAAATCGGATGTTTTTCACTCAAGGAAATTCAACCTTCACCCACTTATACGTAAGGGTCGATTTTTGCAACTCGGGAAGGGAATGACGTGGCGAGCTGAAAATAGTCTCGTTGACTTAGAAATGTCATGACGTCAGAGCTCAGCGTTGGAGAGTTTTTTCTGCTTCACACAAACAAACGGATATATTTTTAAATCCTTTATATTAAGTTCGCTTGCTTGCTTGCGTGCTTGCTTACGACCGTGCAAATCTTTCGGTCGTTTTTTAACCCACATCCCGTGATCCAATCGAGCTGACATTTTCCACACAGACTCGTTGTGCCAGACAATTAATATTCGTGAAAAAAAATTCCCAAAATGTTACACTTTTTAGGCAAAAAAAAAATATTTTACATATATTCAAAAGAACTCATTCTTGGCTATGGCTGAACGTCACAGTATAAGAGCCCAGAGCGTAACCCCTCCACAGGCCGTGGCGGAGTAGTGCAGTTGGTAGCGCCCTCGCTTCCCATGCCAAAGGTCGTGGGATCGATCCTCCACAGGCGAATATATTTTTAAATCCTTTATATTAAGTTCGCTGCCACGCATATAAAGGATTTATAGTGAAAAACTTTGTTTTTACGGGTTATACTTATTTCTGCTTTATATTTAAGATGCTTTGATATTAGCAAAAAGGTCCCATGATGTGACAATCTCGTTAGGTGGTGAAATGTTAACGCTACCAAGTTTGTTCAGGCCACGACAGTGTCCACATATCCACCCCTGCAGTCAAACTCTCTTTTTTTAAATCCTTTATATTAAGTTCACTTGCTTGCTTGCTTACGACCGTGCAAATCTTTCGGTCGTTTTTTAACCCACTTCCCGTGATCCAATCGAGCTGACATTTTGCACACAGACTCGTTGTGCGTGACAATGTATTTTCGTGAATTTTTTAAAAAAATGTTACACTTTTTAGGGAAATTTTTTTATATGTAATTACCAATTGCTTAATGGTGCAATGCAATCATCTGACCTATAGGTGGCAGCCATCTCAAGCCAGAGGACGAGAGGACTCTACCCGCCACGCATATAAAGGATTTATAGTGAAAAACTTTGTTTTTACGGGTTAATTTTTTAACTCCCTAAACTCTCTTTTATTTTACCAGGTAAGGCCCACTGAGCTATGTAGCTCTTTTTCAGAAGCGGCCTGGCCACAAATCATAGCTCAATCAAGTGACTTATGGTGTGGAAATTTGTAACAGCCAAATACCGTAAAATACTCTAATTTATAGCAGGCAAATACTTTACATTTATAGCAGCCAATTACAGTAAACGTGGTGTTCGGAAGACGTGTGTTTCATCTTGTGTATTCGTGTGTGCTATGTTGGTAATGAATTGGTGAATGAGTGAATGGTTGGATAAGTGGATGGGTGGGTGAGCAAGTGAAGGAGTGGATGCTTAGTGGGCGAGTGGTTGGGTGGGTACTGTAGGTAGGTTGATGAGTGAGGGGTTGGTGAGTGGTTGAGTGTGTGGGAGAGTGGGTCTATCTGCAATTAAACTTTCAGGTAAAGCAATTTAACGGCTAAATTACTTGGAACTGATCATAGTTTGTTATCCCTTTACTGGCAATAAAACAGGTGTTAAGATGTTAAAACACCAAACTGAAACCTTTGCAAGGAATCATGTCTGCATTAACCACATATTATTGTGGT